AAACTCCGCGTTGCTCAGCGACAGCCCCGAAACCTGACAGATCTAGAGGAGATCTGTGTGGAGGAGTGGGCCAAAATCCCTGTTGCAGTGTGTGCAAACCTGGTCAAGAACTACAGGAAACGTTTGACCTCTGTAATTGCAAACAAAGGTTTCTGTACCAAATATTAACACTGATTTTCTCAGGTGTTCAAATACTTATGTTCAGCAGTGCTAGACAAATAAATTCTTTAAAAATCTTTCAATGTGATTTCCTGAATTTTTTTTTAATTCTGTCTCTCAGAGTGGGAATGCACCTACAATGTGAATTTCAGACCCCTCCATGATTTCTAAGTGGGAGAACTTGCAAAATCGCAGGGTGTTCAAATACTTCTGTTCCTCACTGTAGACCTAAATTCTTAAAGTGATGGTGAGAAATGCAACATTTTCTCATGAGATTACAATGAAATTGAGACAAGAAAAAAGTACAGGAGAGGATGTTATTAAAAACAATTATAAACAAATAAATGAAATTATTTTAACACAAATAGCCTAAGATTTAACTATTTGCCTGAATGCAAGATGAGTTTAAATATTTTACTTTTAAAATCGAATTCTTTCCCAATATGTAAGCATTAACATGGAGGAGATTTGTCAATTCCAATCACACAAATTAATATAGTAAAGATGACAATAACAAGGTTAAGGGTGGGGAAGAGGAGGAGCTCAAAAGACATAGGAGGTTCATAAATAAATAAATGATGAAATACATAAAAATAAAGATAAAAAGATGCAGTGGATAAAGGTTAAAGGAGGGAGGGGTTAAAGACCCACAGAAAGGAAAAAATAGATTAAAATTGAAACAATATAATAAAGAAAAGATGTGCATTAGGTTCTGAGAGGAGGAAAAAAAAACTGATGTGGAAGAAAAACACCAAGACAGAAGAGAGGAATGAGAGGCGGTGGAGAGGAAGAGGATCATCCTAACTGAAGTTAATAAATAAAGATCCATGAAGCTATTTTAGTTAGGCAACAAAATAATGTTTACTTCTACTGTAGCCAACAGTGAACAAGCAGAGAGAGAGAGAGAGAGAGAGAGGTGAGGAGCAGTGTGATGTGGCACATGGAGAGCAGAGGACGACAAGAGAGGGGGAGCATTCAGAAACGGAGCAGTGGGAAGAGAACAAGTGGGGAGAGCAGAGAAAAATATCTGAAGGAAGAAATCAGTAAAGATGACAGACAGCATATTGTAATCACAGAGATAATGCTGAATTTCAGTATTTATTAAGTTGGGTCACCAATTATTTCCAATGAGTTATTATGATAATGAACTATTATTCAGGCCAATATAACATTTTTTTTAAATCAGCAGTCTATGTTAAAAAACATGCACCAATCATTTGTAAAGTTATGTTTTTTATGTGTTCATGTCATATTTGACAGCTCCACATTCTTGTAGAAACATGTCAGTATCCTATTTTACATTTTTTAGGAACTGATACCTGACATGCTCTACAACATGCTTAAGACCTGTGGAACTGGACGGACCACTTCATTTGTAAATAGCTGCACTAGATGAAATCAAACTGATTTAAAAAAAATGTACATGTTCAAACAAAATCTGAAGAATCTGCAGGATCTCCATAATATTCCTAAGAGTCTGTGTGTGTGTGTGTGTGTGTGTGTGTGTGTGTGTGTACCAGCAGGAGAGCCTTGCAGGGTGCGTCCTGTGGCAGGTACGCTGGCTCCACATCCGACAGCTGTACAGGCCACCAGTATGAAGCTGTAGTCTGTGTGTGGCTGCAAACCTGTAGCACACAGACATGCTTGATTAGGATGACTCTTACACTTGCAACTAAACACAGGATGGAAAATTGCACCCATACTGCTCATGTCCAGACTCTTCTTTATTCTGACAATAAAAAGAACAAATAACAAGACAGTGATATAAACAATGGCAGATATAACAATAGGAGAAGACAAAAAACCCAACATGAAAACAGGGAAAAGTAGAAGAGAGAAAGCTTGCCCGGCCCTTATCACTAGTTCTCTTCCTGACTGATTTTTCTCTCTCACTCTCCCCTCCCTCTTTTCTTTCCACACTGTCTCAACGGATGGATCCATATCTGTCGGTGTTAAATTATGCATGCCATAACTCAATAATGAAACAACGTAAAGATGGGCAGCCGCGGAACTGACATGGGATAGGACCGGTCCAACGCTGTAATGTCATCAGCTTTTGATCTATGATAATTATGATACCTTGGTATGCGTTTAGGCTACAGCATCCAGACATGATTTATTTATAGGCACCTTCTAAAGGAAATCTCATAGCGACTGAGCGATCCTTTAACTGCAACCACAGGAAATCAGCTTTCGGTGTGATATTCACTCTTTCACAGTAATATTTAAATACTGGGCATTGCTGGAAACAATACAAGTCATTGCCAAGTTGCTCCCGCTCTCTGGTCATCGAAAACCTTTTTTCTTTCACATATATTTTCTGCCTAGTTATTAATGAAATGTGGATGGATGAGGATGAATGGATGGATGCAAATCCTTAATGCTGCCATGGGGATTGACTAGATGTTTTATGGTCATTCACTTAGCTGACAGCATAGAGCAGCTTACAAATCAAATTCAAGGGATAATGAAAGGACTAAAATGACTTTATTTCATAAGGATGACTGCAAAAACAGGCTTTGGCACTGCACAATAAGGTGTGTTATATTCTTTATTTCAGCCTTAAATCTGCACTTCTGTAGTTAAAGCAGTAAATATTTTACACTATTATTAATTTTTGATAAAATGGATATATGTTTTTATAGTCACAATCATCAAGTTAATTAATTTAGTCCTTTTTTTGAACATTTTTTGTACCTACTATATTTTATATTATTTTTGCATACACATAGTTCTACTTTCATATGTTTAACACTGAAGGGCAAACAAGACAGTGGGGGATTGCTAATGAGATAAATACAAGTTATTGTCACCAATATTACATGTGAATTACATTACAAATGATCACACTACACCTGTAATTTAGTGTATAAAAAGAGCATGATTTTAATTAACTATACACTTTTTGATGTAATTTAACTAATACATTTAAATAATCTATTGCTGTTTCCAAATGTATATATTTAGAAGCGGAGTGAAAAAAGGGACACCCTGCAGCGTCTCAGCTGCTATATGCATGTTTGTACAAACCGTGTTCACTGCATATGGCAGAAAACCTACGTACCTCCACACACACACACACACGCGCGCACACACACCAGTGTCTAATGCACAGCAGAGTGCTTCACCGCGGTTTCTTCACGTCCTTCTACTGCTTAGCCTGCTTAACATGCCTCGCAGACTGCCACACTTAACACAACCTTTGATCAATATGCGTGTGTGTGCAAATGTTCTCACAATGTTGCCCTGTGTTTGGGTTAAATAAAGGAAATCTGCCAGCCATACGAAAGTACTAGGGTTGAAGCGAAAGGGTCTGTTACACTATTTAACTGTGCAACTAAGCGTGTGTATATGCGTGTGTGCACTCTAGCATAGTAAATGATATCTACACTACAAGTGATATCATTTGTTGCAACAGTGAATAAAGTGGTAACCCTTCACTACACTTTCCTACATGCTGACAGACACGGTGTCCCTACAGGAGTCGGACTGGGGCTAAAAACTGTTACAATGTGGAACACAGGCCACCGAGTAGTCAGCTTTATGGGGCAACAAAGTCATGTGGCAATGGTTTCAGAGCTGTAGAATGACAAGGAGGCAATGAGATAAGATTTGCATGCAATTCTTTCAAATGCTACCTGCATCTATTAAATCCACCCTAAACACAGAGTGAACTGATCAGAGAACATACTTGTTCCAGCCTCTACACAGTGAACACAGTCAGAAACTAGAAGACTGACAAGGCCATATAAATCAAACCAAGTATCACTTGAATTTTCCATGCACTCTGTCTACTTTAAACATGAACCAAAAGAAGCACAATTATATTTCTGATTCAGTACATGTGCATGTAAACACACCCACAAATGTGTCTGATGTTTCTTGGTGTGATTCACATTAGCTTTAGCACTCAGCCTGAAGAGGGCAGTGTTGGTCTGCTGCAGAAATAACACCAAGTTGACCACAATGTGTGTGTGTGTGTTTAACAGATAGAGAGAGAAACTGTGCATGTACCTGTATACTTATATGGTTGATTATGGAAAACATAGGAAAATTCAATCACTTTAGCAGTGATCACCCGGAAGTGAAGAACAGCCAGTGGCAGAGAGAGACAAGTGTGCAGCTGTCACAGTTAGAGCTGGACACAGTGGAGATGTTTGTGTATGACAGTGAGAGACACAGAGAGCGAGACTTTAGCAATAAGAGTGAGCAAGAGTTGGTGCTCACTGTGTATGAAGAAAAATGTCACAGAGCAAAACTGTGCATGTGACAAGAACAAGAGACAAGACTGTGAGACTATTGCTGTGGATTTCTTTTAAGTGTGTTGCTGGGGTGCAGTAAAAATAACTGATTTAAAATGGCATTTTATTGACAGGATGCCGTTCTCTGTTTGCATTAGAGAATATGATAGGATGATGGGAACAGGCCACAATACCATGCCGGTTACCTGATACACCACATAGGCAGAGAGAGAAAAAGAGAGAGAAAGACTGTGAAGTGAAAGACAAGATGGAGAGAAAGTTGGAAAGCCAAGGAGGAAAGAGAAATGTGAGGACAGTTGAAAAAGACGAGAGGCTGAAATGGAAAAGAAGGGAAACAGAAGAAATAGATGTGGTGCAATAAAGTGTGAGGAGGGAATAGAAAAGCTGAGGAAAAACAAAAAAAGTACGAGACTATATGCGAAACTTGTAGAGCGGGGGGGGGGCAGCAGCTTTGATAACACCTCTCCTAAATAATTAAGAGTTTGACTTCCTGTCTGTGGCTCCCTAATGCAGAGACTGTCTGGGATGGAACAATGAGATCAGATTCTCTCTCTCTCTCACACACACTTCTATCTTTGTAAAGACACCCACTGTCATAATGTGTTCCCTAGCCCCTAACACCAAGCCTAATTCTAACCTGAACCCTAGCCTTAATCCAAGTTTTAACTTCATGTGTTGTTCATTTGTTGTTTACACTGCTGGTGTTCATTGGTCAGCGTTGACCCACAGAATTTTGGCTTTGTAATTCACCACAATCAAACAATTTTATGTTAAAATACTCAACAGATGTTTACATTTGCCCTTTAGCTTTGTTAGATTACATTTATGAATTAATGTGCTACTCTTATTGTTTTTTTTAATAAAATGCAATAAAGAAATAAACATAACACCACCAACCTACCCTGGGCTCTGCAGATGCTCAATCTCATCTTCTTCTCCAAAGTCACTGTCAAAGTCTGAGTTTTCAGAAATGTGAATGCAAGGCCCTCTGAACAGAGATTCCTTTGATTCCTTGATCGGCTGTGCTAAGGAACCACACTGGCAATCCTATATTTATTGTGTCTGTCCTGTGGGTGTTGCACCCACAAAGCCCACCTATACATGCAGGTGAAACACATACACACAGTGGCTTCACAAAGTACATTCACGACTTGTACGCTTTTATGTTGTCAATTTATTATTATCCATCAATCCACACTCAATAACCCATAATGACAAAGTGAAAAGATGTTTTTAGAAGTGTTTGCAAATAGATTAAATATCATACACTGAAATCCTAATTCAGTACTGTGTAGAAGCCCTGTGACCGGCTGCTTGTCTCTATAACACGATTGGAACAGGTTATCCCATTCTTCCAGGCAGATCCATCAGACTGGATGGGAACTGAACTTCTTCAGGTCTCTCCAGAGATGTTCTGTGGGGTTTAGGTCTGGACACTCAGCCAGAGACTTGTTCTGAAGCCACTCCAGTGTTGTCTTGGCTGTGTGCTTCAGGTTACTGTCACGCTGAAAGGTGAACTCAGGCCGCTACACTCTGGAGCAGGTTTTCTTCAAGGACCTCTGTATTTGGCTGCACTCATCCTTCCCTTAGTTCTGACCAGTCTCCTTGCTTCACTTTCTTCTTGATCACCCTTAGACTGGCATGTTTCAATTAATAAATGTTGACCATGAAGAAAGAACAAGACCTCTCTTCTTCTGGTCCTCTGACTACATCAAGACAGCAGAAGGGAGACAGACCTGGTGCCTGAACAGAAGCGAGGGTTGTGGCAGGGTCGGCTCAGCTGGGTCGAGGATCGACAGCATCCCAGAGAACATCCTTCTTTACTGATAACTGCCCTACTAAGCTCACCTCCACCGCAAGCCTGTTAAAATCGTGCTTTTGCTCCAGTTTAAGAAGTCAGAAGCAGAATTCCTGAGGAAATGAGACAATTTGGATAAAAAAAACTTTCTACATATTGTAACGCTGACTCTTCTAACAGAAAACAGATCCAGGATTAACACATGATACAGAAGGTTGTTGTGCATCTCCTCTCTTCCTTTCCCCCGTCTACATGCCTGTACCTCTACTACGACCCACACAGAGCGTTGGCTATGGGAGAAACACATTAATAAATAAAAGAACATACTTTATTCCCTGCTGTTCTGAATTAATAATGAGCCTACAAAAGACCAATTAAACACATGATTAATGCCATAATCTATATAATTGCAGGCAATAATTCATTGTGAGCTAATGATAGCAATACTTAATATCGATTCACATGGGGTGTCTTTGTACGCTAGCACTTAATATGTGCTATTACACATCACTTTTCAGGATTGCTAAAAATGTTATTAATAAGAGTCAATTTCTTTCCTGGGGCAAATGATTGATAAACAGGAAATGGCAGAAACCACAAATTTGTTTTTATTGCTTTAGATTCTGGCATTGCACCGGTCACTGCTTAGTTTGGTGTTTTCTCTCCAACAGTGCAGAGGCGCCAACATTAGTTGATTTATTTAAAATAATATCACTAGTATTATTATGTTTGTGTTTCAGTGGAAAATATCCCTTCAGGAGGTATCTTTGGCTGGACAGTTATTTTTCAGATCAAATACATAACAACGGTGCAAGAGTAATTCAATCTAAAATTGACATTTTTGTTGCTAAAAAAGGACATTTTTCTCAAGTTTCTGTGGCCTGAGTGAGTGAGCGTGTCTATGACAGTGCTGAGGCCGATCGCAGAGATGCAGAGAAGATGAATAATGGCATATTAAACATTAAGGATGAGGGAGTAGTGCAGCAATTATTTCTGTTCATATTTCACTGAAAACACTTGGCTATATCCACTCATCTTTTCATGTCCATCCTTCCTCCTTTTTTTTGCTTCGTTATTTTAAAAAGTGTCATTCGTGCATGTGCAAGTATAGTGATTAAATCTAAATACAATTAGGGAAAAAAGCATGCAGAAAAAGCAAATGATCCCAAAGGCTATTTTTAAGTTAATAAACATAAATAGTCAGAAATGTTCTGAACCGATATGCAGAACTGGTAGTGGGACCCCTCAAGGTCTTTTTAAAATATCTATAATTTTCTGAGCCTGGGTTTTCATGAAACAATGTCTGTCATTACATCTCATGTTAAAACAATCTACTGCCAAAGGGAGAAGGAGAGAATGAAAGAGAGAGAGAGAGAGAGAGAGACCCCATAGTGGCTTTGGCTGAATGTGCAGGGTTTTCCAGGGTCTCACTGGGGGACAGGGGAATTTCACAGACATGCTGGTTGCTTACACTTGCACATGGGGCTGGTACAGTATTACAGCACATTACTGTATCTATTTGGCATTGTTTGTTTTGCATCATGCATACACATACAACTCCTGACCATACAAGCCAACCACAAACACCATGGGAACGGTCTATTGGCGACTGGCAAAGCTGGTGTCTGGTCCGAGTCCAAGACAGAGCAGAGAGGAGAGCAGCGAAGGGAAAATGCCACAGAGTTTCAGTTTCAAAAGATGAAACCACTTGGTTCTCACTTTCATCAGCTTTAACACCTAATGTTTTTAAATTGCTGTATTCCAGTCCCGTTCACAGTGATCATATTCGGGGATATTTCATCTCGTTGTCTCAAACACATTCTGCTTCTATACACAACATTTACTTTCCAAAGCTTCATGTGGATGGATGCTTATATCTGTCTGTATGTTTGTGTGTGTGCGTGTTGTGAGTATGGCCAGTAACACTGCTCCTCCTCAGGGTACACACAACAAGACTCACAAATCACCCTGTCCTGTCACCACTGTGTTTGTGCGCAGTTGTACAATATGAAGACAAGCCAACACAAAATGTTTTTTTTTTGCATTGTTGGTGTACTTATGCACCTTTGTACTATGTTTGGGAGTGTCTCTGTGCTTGTTTCTTCTGTGTGTGTGTGTGCATGTGTGAGTAGAGAGGGAAAATGATTAAGAAACAACACTGAAAGGTCAGGGATGCAGAAACAGGGAAGGAAAAGGGAGCAGACAGTAACAGAATGACATAACATGAGGTGCCCTGATAGCTGACTGGTTACAGTGTGGCACAAGTGTGGTGTGTGCATGATGTCCAGCTGGCAACTTATGTCAGGTCCTTCTCTCTTTCCTGTCTAATTACTCCATAATAATAAAGGCCAAATACCTGAAAAAAGAATAATAATAATATAATGTGTATCTTACCAGTCACAGTATAATTTCTAGGTCCATCAGTATGAGTAACTATGGTCCCAACACCAGTCTGGTTCAGGTGGTACTGCCGTATGATTCCATTGGGATGAGTGGGTTCAGACCAGCTCACAAAGAGGGAGGAGAGGCTTAAAGCTGCTACCTCTGGAGGCTGCACACCCTCTGGGACTCCCTGGACTGTCACTGCCACCACCTAAATGCACACATGGACATGGGCACACACAGATGAAGGAAACACACAGAATACAGAGGTTCCACTGACAGATAATAGAAATAATAAATAAATAAAAGAAATAATAGTAGACTTCAGGAAGAACCCCTTCCCTCTGCTGCCTCTGATCATCAAAGGGACTGAGGTGGAGAGGGCTGACAGCCACAAGTTCCTTAGCCTGCAGGTGACATCTGACCTGAGCTGGCCACTGAACACAGATGCCACAGTGAAGAAAGCCCAGCAGTGGCTATACTTCATCAGGTGGCTCAGAAAAGCTGGGTTGAACCGTTACCTTCTCACCCAGGCTTATAGAGGACTGGTAGAGAGCATTCTCACTACTGGCATCACAGTCTGGTATGGTAACACCACACAGGCAGAGAGGAAGGCTGTTCAAAGGGTCATAAAGACTGCAGGGAGGATCATAGAGACTGAACTGCAAGCTATGGACACACTATACACACAGCACTGTCGTAAAGGGGCGGAGAACATACTCAGGGATCAACGCCACCCAGCTCACTCTCTGCTCAGATACAAAACCTGCACCTACAGCCTCAGGCACAGCAGGGCGGACAGTATCATCACATTACCCTATTTTTGTGTATTGCAGTTTTAATGCTTTGTTGCTTTTATGTAACTTCTTTATTTTAAGACTAAGTGTTCTTTCTGGCTTTTGACTCCTTACCTGACTCCAAAGGTGAGCTGCACAAGAATTCCTAAATGCCTAAACTGTCTATGCATAAATGGCAAATAAAAATCTTTACTTGACTTGAGATGGAATTCAGCTGTGATTATTACCTCCACCAAGGAGGTCATGTTTTTACCGATGCCTGTTGGTTGATTTGTTAACAGCATAACTCAGAAAGTTATGAATGGATTTGGATGAAATTTATTTGGAGAGGTAGGGTATGGTTCATGGAACAATCTGTTAAGATTCCGGTGGTAATCCAGATCCAGGAATTTGTTTTAACAATTCTGCACAATAGTGTGATAGGTCCAGTTTCAGTGTGTTTGCTTATGACTCCAAACAAAATGCCTACAATTTGACAAAATTGCAAGATAACATCCTCATAAGATCTACCACACACCAAAGTCTGGATCCAAGTAACATTCTGGATCTGTTGATCCAGAGGCTTAAAATTTATAGGGCTCACGGAAACCAAAAATAATGCTACAGACTTGCAACTTAAATAAAATTCTAGCTGAAATTCTAGGGCGTCAACAGATTTGACACACAGTAGTTACAGACGTTAGAGTAAAATCTGAAGAAAAACCTAAAATATTGGTTTTCCTGAACAAATTTCAAGCTGCTAATGATATCAATGTATTCTGATAGAGTCACACCATGCAAAAAAAACATTTTTTTGTACAGAGTTGTGAGTTGCTGTCTTGTTGTAGATTCCTTGTAAAGTTCTAGATGTGTGGATCCCTGTGAACGCTGGGTGAATGTGGAGACCACAGAATCACAGGGCAATCTGCTGCTAATGGTAACAGGGATATCCTACCTTAATAGACTGTCACTAGCACTTCCTCCACTTGTCCCACACAGTGCTATGCAATTAGAGCACTGCTACTACAACTAAGGAGACACTCACATGTGCACACACAGACACGCACATGGGTACATGCAGGTATACACACGCAAACGCAAAGATGTGGAAGAGAGGAAATGGCAAAAAAGGCCCAGAATAAGATAAGGAGGTTGCAGGGGAAGTGCAGCATCAATCAGTGAGTGCCTCAGTGTGTTGTCAGCTTCAGTGTCTGTTAAGACTGTGCTCAAATGCAAAAAAAATAAAAGCCATATAATCAAGTTCTGTATGTATGTGTATCTTAAAAACAGTAAACTTAACTTAGTTCAGTTAACTTTTTACATTTGGTGGACAAGTGAACTCGGCTTGGAGCTATTAGGACCCAGGGATGCCAACAAACTCACTAGTGACAGTACCAACCTGTTGTATTTAAAATGACCTATCCATGCCTTTTACAGTTAATTGACAGGGGAGATAGAATATCTCATGTAAAATATGTAAACATGACACCACCAAAATCCTCCATCCTTTCCTTTCATCCATCCTCATCCGCACAGAGCCATGGCACCTATTGTGTATATGAAACCAGCTGCTCCCTAGCACAGCATTAAGGTCACATTTATATGAAACCAGCTGCTAGCGCTCCCTAGCACAGCATTAAGGTCACATGAGAGGCCTGACACTCCCAGCGAGGGGAATAAGTAGGAGACAGGCAGGAGATCTACAGAGGGCAAGGAGGACATGGTACTGACCTGTTCTACTCTTCATAATTCGGGGAATGTGCGATCTCTCCCCAGTAAAATAGACGAGCTGGCGGCGCTGACCCAACATCAGCAGGAGCACCAGGAGAGCAGCATTGGACCTATTTTATGCCAACACGAAGGAGGCTTATAAATCATCACCACTCCTTCCCCTGGCAAGATCAGATCACAACCTGGTTCATCGTTTGCCTGTGTACCAACCCCCTTGTGCACAGAGAGCGTGTCTCCCACACAGTAAGGAAATGGAGACTGAAGAGGCTCTGAAAAGGTCTGGCTCAACACAACTGTGTGGGAAGAACTGTGATCTGTGGGGGGAGGAAATTAACTTCTGTGTGGAGAACACTGTAACCACTAGGTCTGACCCTCCAAAAACAAAACATGGATCAACCCTGATATAAAGGCTTTCCTAAAGGAGAAAAAGAGGGTCTTTAGTTCAGGAGACGAGGAGAAGATCTAGGAGAGGAAGCCCAGCTGAGGGAGAACAACATCCGTGGAGTCTGCAAATGCCTCAAACCCATCTCTGGCCACAAGAATTCTGACCCCGAGGCTGAAGGGGACCAGAAGTGGGTGAACGATCTCAATCTGTTGTTCAATAGATTGGATTATCCTTCTACCCCTCCCCCTACAGTCATCCCTGCTGCCCATCTCTTCTGCACTCACCGTGAGTTGCCCTGGCCTCTCTCTCATACCCACCCCCTTCTCCATGCCTTATAGCTCACAGCCACCCCTCACTAGTCCCTCTACTAGTAGCCCAGCCCCCCGACCAACACACTCCAGCTCTCTGCCCCGCTGCCTCAATCTGACTTTTACAGCAGCCCAGGTGAAAGACAAGGTTAGGAATATCAAAGGCTGCAGGTCCGAATGGCATCAGCCCCAGGCTCCTTAAGTCTCGTGCAGATCTTTGATTTCTTCAGTGCCTTCAGCACCATACAGCTTCTAAGGGATAAAGTGGAGCACATTGGGGTGGACATCCATTTACCAAACCACAATCATCAGCCTCTTCACAGATGAGGATGACAGGGAGTAGAGGGAACTGATCCAGGACTGGTGACTGTGGAACCGCCTCTGGATCAATGCAGGGAAGACCAAAGAGTTGGTGGTGGATTTCTGCAGGTGCAGACATCTCCCTCTGACACCAGTCAATATCCAGGGAATGGACATTGAGAAAGTGGACCCTTATAAGTACCTGGATGTTCACCTCAACAATAAACTGGACTGGTCAAACAACACTGAGGCACTTTACGAGAAAGGCCAGAGCTGATGAGATTAAGGTTGTTTGGATGCAGGGGACACTCCTGAGGACCTTCTTTGATACAGTGGTGCCATCAGCCATTTTCTATGGAGTGGTCTGCTCTGCTGAGGCCGCAGACTGGAAGAGATTAGACAAGCTAGCCAAGAGGGCCGGCTCTGTCCTGGGAAAACCCCTTGACCGAATGCAGGTGGTGGGTGACTTGAGGAGGACTCCCACCCCCATGCACGAGACTCTGTCAGCACAGTGACAGACTGCTTCCAGAGTGCAATATGCCTGACTTCTTACTTTTTTATTATTTATTACTGTATCTACAATTGTTTATATTTATATTAATACCTTGTTACTTTTTGATTCTTAACACTGAGTGCCTGTTTACACTCCTTTTGCTGCTGTAACGCTGTGAATTTCCCTGTTGTGGGACTAATAAAGGTTTATCTTTTCTTACCATAACTCAGAAAGTTACAACACAAATGTTGCAATTTCCCACATGTAATAAAAAGCTGTATATGCAAAAACCTGCCTCACAAAGATAATCTTTATCAAACCTTTATTTCTCTCTACAAAGAAATGGAAACTTGGGAGGACAGTGGAAAGTGGGGTTGTAAGAGAAACAGAAAAGAGAGAAGTGGGGATGCTGAGCACCAGATGACAGCTGTTGTACTGGTGTTTGGGCAGCAGGAAGGCGAAGGGAGGAGAGCGAGACTAAGAAAGGAAAGAGACAGCAGACAGCAGCTAGGGGAAACCGGACAGTACGGCATTAAGATCAGGGAAATGACAGGACACAAACAGTGGCGAGAACAGGACAAAAGGATTCGAAGTCAGAGATGGACCAATCGCTCTTCCTCCCTCTCTAAGTGACTGAGCGTATTAGATCAGCACCGTCTGTTGTCACAGTAGGTGTGCTTTCTGTGTGCTTGTTTGTGTGTCTGTGACTGTGTGTGTATGTGAGGGGGTTGATGCCAGGTAATTGCAGTGGTGTATTAGGTTAGCTGAAGTTATCCCATAATTGGGACTGTTTGGCCAATTTTCACTGGTGTACAAACTAATCCAACTCACTCATGTTCCACCCTCTGCTGAGAGCATGTGTGCTTGTTTGTGTGAGCATGTGTAGGTGTGTGTGAGACAGGGAGGTAAACTGAGAAAACGTGAAAGACGGAGACAGAGTTTGTAGTGTACCTGCGTGTGGCTTTAGGAGGGCACATGCATGTATACAGAGTTTTCCTCTCGGTCATGCAGTTCTCAGTTAAACAGAGAATGTTTCCAACCAGGATGATCTAGGGTTCCACACACGCAATTTTCAGTACACAGTGAAATGTGCCCTGACCCAATGCACTTTCAGGCTGCCTACTCTCCCCCAAACAAAGACCAGACACTCGGCAGCTTAACCCAGCCTTATACTATCTACACTGAATCTATTTAGGCTTATAAATAAATATATTAGAGATATTCCACAGCATTCTGCAACTCAATGCACCTTCAAGGGCTTATTGAATTGTCTGTTCTCAACTGAGCAAAGAGTAGATACCCTGAACAACGACTTGGCCTTTTACCTAAACTGTTATTTGATTAGGCTGAAGTCCAGTGGCTGGACCCACGTGCAACTTCATCTAAATGTCATGCCTGCTCAGCTATCTAAGCACCACAACTCTCCATCTGGTTACACTAGTCTTACCAATAGCCACTAGCTACCAACCTACTGTTACTGAGAAACGTTTCCTGAAATATGTCCCGTGGCCTGTCATACCAAAGGAAAGTACATGGTGTCAATGTGAGTGTGTGTGCAGGTGGGTGGAAATACAGCAATATTCACAAATGTACCATCACAGTGAATCACAATGTCGTATGTCTCGTTCTCTCATCATCTGTCTTTCCATTTACCAATCTTTCCTTTATCTGCCTCCTAAAACGATTCATAAGTCATCCATGTCATCATTTTGCCTAGCATTCATTTACTGTAATCATCTATTTATCTATCAACCCCTCACAACCAGTTCAACCAGCTGTACCTCTATCTCACCACCTCACCCATCCATCCCTCCAGTGACACAGCTGCAAGCTTCACGTAAGAATGTGCTCATCAAAATAATGAGATGTTAAATTATCTTAAAAAAGCCAGAAAGTCGGTTTTCCACGTGAGTCTTCATCAACTCTAAGCTGGAGAAATTAATTGTTGTGGTGATATCAGCTCGGCTACAGCCAGAGAGATAGCGGGGGGAGTTCTGTGTGAAGCTATTATGGACGCTATCACAAGCATCAGGTAGACTCAGCAAATCCAGAGGCTGGCGTACAGGAGGAGAGTGGCAACGAGGCTAAATAACAACTTGTTCTGACATGGGAACAGTATAGAGTTCACACAGTGCAGAAACATCAAACACTGTAATATCTTAGCAACAAAGGTCAAAGGGGTTTGAATTAATAAAATATCACTTGCAGAACAACTGTACACCTGAACTATGATGTAAACAATTTTCAGAAATCAGCACCTGAGGCAGCTTTTATGAGAGTATAAAGGCATTTAGCTGAAGTGCCACTGGCCAAACACTGAGACTGGAAGGCTGCAGCCTTAAATGTACATAATATGAAGCAGACAGCTGCAAGTCCAGGACAAGTCTCCTTGTTAGAGATCAGGAAAAGCTGTCTCTACTCACTTCAGACAGGTGCATAGGAGAATAAGAATACATTTGACCAGGTAAATTTATCAGTTATTTGGGAAACTGATTTTGGTTCCTGGAAAAAAAAACCAACCAAACAAACAAACGCTAGAACAAAACAAACTAAAACAAAACCCTAGAAAGTGTGTGTTGGTGTGTGGAAGGAAAAAGCAGGTTAGGAGGACAGACTCAAATTAAGAGAATACACAGTCCGCCTCTGATTACAGGAGGAATCACTACTATTTTACTGTCCCTGTGTACAAAGCAACAGCAATACTCCAATAGAGCACTGCAAGTATTGCTTGTCAGTGTAAAGCCAACTCAGTTCTGTGTATTTACACTCACTGAACTTCAGACTAAAAACATCAATACTGATGCCACCTGGCATTGTGGGACAGGTTAGCCACACATGCTGCTAATGAGCTAATACTGCAATGCAACATAAAATGTTAGTCTGACACAACAAAACTGTAACAGTACTGACACAAACAAACATGTACTGTAGTCTTACCCGTGTACTGTCGGCACAACCAGCCCGGTTACAGACCCTCAGCTGGTAACTGTATTCCTGGAAAGGCCTGATTCCACCCACATCGGTGAAACTGTTTTCATCACCACGGTAACGCTCTTGTCCATCCCGCAGTATAACATAGTGGGTGATGTCCCCTGGTAAAATGGGAAAAAAAATTTAAATGTAAGATTTTGCTCAATATTTAATGCATTGAAAATATCTTTCCTTTTTGACTTTTGAGTCTGCATCCACATTAATCGTAAATACTTTCTTACATAAGACAATTAGACCGAGCTACATCTACATCTTTTACTATTTTTTATTACCTAGGCCAAAGGCGGCAGTAATGTTTTTGCCAGTCATTTGTTGGTTTGTTTGTTAACAGCATAACTCAAAAAGTAACGAATAGATTTTGATCAAATTTTATGGAGGGGTAGGGTATGGCCCATGGAACAATCGATTCGACTTGGGTGCTGATCTGGATTGGGATTAAGACATTTTTTAAACGATTCTTCACCATTGTCGGTGTTGGAAAACCTGCTGACTGTATCTGAGCCCCCCTGTGGTGAAAGTAACAGCTGTGCTGCTGAGCACATACAGTGCAGAGACTAATCCCTGAGCCAGCGAGAGGTTGAACTTCCTGAGCTGGCACAGGAAGTACATCCTCTGCTGGGCCTTTTTGGTGATGGTATTGATGTTGGACGTCCACTCCAGGTCCTGGGAGGACTCTATTGCTGATACAGTACTGCCGAGTATGGTGTGGGGGCTCTTCCTAGAGTCCACTCCACTGTTTTGAGCCTGTTCAGCTCCAGGGCGAGCTGTTCAACCTTCCAGCTGTAGGGAGATTCATCACCATCTCGAATGAAAGCGATGACCGCTGTGTCGTCTGTGAAGTTCAGGAGTACACCCTGCTGTGTGAGAGAGTGAGTGAAGGAGTTTAGGAAGGCGACAACCCACAGCTGGGGAAAGCTCTATTCTGTGCAGCGACAGCCGGGTGAGAATAAATCGGGATTATCTTGATTTCAGATGGTGATGGCAGAGATTTTGAACCAGGATCATTGCTGTTATAACTGTCATCCTAAGGCTGGTAACTATTATCCACTTTATTAAGTTTTGACATTTTTTCAGGCAGCCACTTACATTGATGATATGTGGTCAGTTTATCCAAGTAATGCCAATTTATACATTTTTTCTGCTCTATTAGCAGGCAGCAACATCTGGTTCAGAGAACAGTCTGTCGCCCGGCCTTCTAGCAGCAAATTACGAGTACTGCCTCTTCCCATACTTGGGGGTTTGGACTTCAAGTTCAGATTTGCTACTACAATCATCTACTGTGATTGCAAACAAGCTGTGTATCAGGAAATGGTGTAGTATGGTGTGTATGTCACATCTGTCCACAGAACACATGAGCCATCGAGGACCTGAATTGCCCACCCTTGATTTGGCCCTTGATGGCATTTAGTAATCCTTTATGTCTAGTTTTTTTTTTCTTGAGTAACTTTCAAACCAGTAGTGGTATTAGTGTCATTCCAAATGTCAGCAGCAGGTTTTCATATTGAGATGCTCAAACTATTACAGGATTATATGCATTTAGATGCAATGGCATTTAGGGGCTGCCTTGGTGGAGGTTTGCACTCTCTGTGTGCTCTCTAGTTTATTACTACACCCAAAACTAGTGATACACACTTGCATACACATGTATACACACCATTAGGCCTGGCAGGTGCTTGCCATTGCAACTGGATGATGTCATCTCGTTCACCAAGGCGACTCCAACGGGGCGGTGCCACTCCCCATGGTTTGTCTTCACTGGTGGTCACTGTTATAATATCACTAGAGCCTCGTCCAAAGCTGTTCCAGCCCCTCACTCTATACTCATAGGTGGTGAAGGGCTGCAGATTTGAGTCTATGTAAGACAGATGAACAGAAGAAGGGGAGAAATGGATACAGATAATAAAGCAAGAAGGGGAACAATGAACAGATCAATAACAATCCGTTAGTAAGACTGTCAATACATCGGTTATCCATCCATCATCTATACCGCTTATTCCTGAACATGGTCACAGGGGGCTGGAGCCAATCCCAGCTGACACTGGGTGACAGTCAGGGTCCACCCTGGACAGGTCACCGGTCTGTCACAGGGCTGACATCGGTTAATGAATAAATGATTTATGTAGGAGAGCTGCACAAGAATTCCTATATGCCTAGACCGTCTATGCATAAATGGCAAATAAAAATCTTGACTTGACTTGTATATGTGATTAATACTATAAATGCAAACATACAGTGGTATAAGCTCTAATTCCAAAATGTGTAAAAACATGTTGTAAATCTGTTGCAAGTTATAACAAAGAGTTAATATTTTAATAAAAAATGTGGAATTAAGAGAAAAGAGACTTTTATGTATTGTGGTTAGTAGAAATATCCAAAATGTGATTCTATAACAACAACAAAAAGATAAATAACATAGGTTAAATGATGTTTGTGAATGGGACCAAGTTTCAGTCATATGTGACACTGCTTTAGCACAATGAAGACAAGGGATTTAAAATGCACCGAGTACTTCTGTCTAAGCAGATACATTTAAAAATATAGTTTTGATGGTTTGGTGCCTTATAATATTTAAGACTCCCACATGCTGCATATACAATTTGTGAAACACACGGCAGATCCAAAGTGACACATGTACAGTTTTAGCTACAGTAGCTGGGAGTTGTATGACCAACACAGGCTCATATTATATGAACATATAGCAAATATATGCACTATCACTGGTGCAGAGCTGTAAACGTCAGGCTGTTACAACCCTTCTGGTGAGGTTAACATACAGGAGCATATATACATACAGATGCGCCTGCACACACACATATGAGAGTTATTTTTAGGAGTGCTGAGGGACTGCTGCTGTAAATGGGACCATGTTTTAACCGCCAGTCTGGGACTCTTGTCTTTACTACTGTGATAACTGAAGCAGCAAAACACACACAGTGAGGCACACACAAAAATAAAACACTGGATGTGTTGGCTTACATACATGTCTAAAACTGGCTAAACTGATTACCCAAAGTATAAATATAAGCTGTGCATGAACAATACATTTATAGTATTAATTGCATGTGTTGAACTATGTGTGTGATCAACCTTAGGTTTTTATCCCAGAGAGGAGTAACATGATACTCTTTAAGTGCATGTGTGTGTTCATGAGAAACATCTGGTGTATGGTGGGTGGCGACAGCTTTATGTGCCTCTGCCCAGATGGTGTCACAGCATCACCTAGAAACTCTTATCCTAACCGCCCCATGCCACACAGACACACACTCACAAAGTGGTTTCACTACAGTTGTGAGGACACTTACTGATATAGTGCATTCCTTTGCCCTTTACCATAACAATATATGCCTCGACCACCAACCCTCATGTAAACCTGATTCCAACCTTAAACCTAAAAGAAAGTCTGAGCCCTCAAACAGCCCTTTGAAGGGTTGAGGATCAGCCAGGATGTCCTCATACTGACTGGTACTCAATTAGAATTTGTCCACACAAGCACAGAAAGATATCTACAAACACACACACACACACACACACACACACACACACACACACACACAAAGAGAAAAAAATGTAACCACATTTACTAGAGAGACACACTTAAACAGTAACTAAATGAACACTAAAGCACACAAAATACAATTATGAATGCACAACCGCCCATACACACAAATAACATCCACAACCACAATTAATCTTGATTAAACAGACATAACTACCCAGATAAGTAATGTGTAGACATACTGAAAACTGTGACATACACGGCTGCACACACACACACACACACACACACACACACACACACACACACACACACCAACTCCCTTTGGGCTGATAAATAGGAGAGAATGTTGAAAAGGCATTTAAATGCCCATCTTGAAGTTTTAATGACACACAAGTGTACAGCACAGAGAGAGATACCGCATTACAGCTATTAATGTACACTGCAACAGCTGTCTTTGTGTGTGTGTGTGTGTGTGTGTGACTGTGTGGAAGGGCATCTGTTTTTAAAGCTCGCTGATCGCAGTGGCCAACATATCTAGAGTTGTAGAACTGGTTTCTGCAGGCTCACAATTTCAATGAGCGCTGTATTTCACAGATGGCTATATTCTGTATTAGTTATTCTTCATACTTGCTCAAAGGACTGAAGTGAGACTCCTAATTTCCAGCAAAGCCATAGGCCGGGAACAGGGAAATGCAAATACATTCTGGTCATTGTGCATACAGAGGCATGGTTACACCAAAGAAAAAATGAGGTTAAATTCTACTTCCAGTAAATGAGCTGAGGTAATGCTGCTGACTTTCTGCATTATTTTTCAACATTTTCAACATCATATTTCAGTAACATGTAAAAGAAAGCAGTTGAAGGTCTGAGAAAACTACTTGTGTAGTTCCTTCAGTGACATTAAAGCATTTAAAACAGTTGTAAGGATTAATTATAAAACAGCTAATTAGCTTTAAAGAAGTTGTAAAGCAGTGGAATGGTTAGAAAAGCAGTCTTGTTACCAAAGACACTCAATGCAGAGGTGACACAATCACTAGATAAAGAAAAGATAAAGGAAAAAAACAAAAAAAAAACAATCTCTGGCGCTTACCCAAAACACCCAAAGACATTCAGTCCACATACACACAAACTCACTAATTACCTGTAAAGGTGTATGCGCTGGCATCCCCGCTGTACACTACTTCATCATGTGATGGACACAGACTTCCCTCATATCGCAGGTTCTCAGTGGATGCGTGACTGTCAGTGTCTGCCATTTTATACCAGTTATCACTTCTGTCCATATGTGTAGAAAGGCCTGTAGTGAGAGTTGCCTGTGTGGTGTCGATGGAGGGCACGTCAGAGTGCGTGTATGAGGACAGGACCCATGTACAGGCAGTCACAGATGGATCGAGGTCACAGGAGCCGCAGTAAGCTGTAGATGCTGCATCTACAGGACAGAGAGCGCCCAGCAAACACTGGTGCTGCATGGAGGAAGGGGAGAGACAGAAGGAACAAGGGAATGGAGATGAAGAGAAAATATGGGGAAGGAAGAAGTGAAATCATTTGAGTGTAGTGATAAGCAGAAGAAGTAGAAAAGTGAAAGTAGTATAGTTTCACTTTTCTACAGCTATTTTCTCAAAGTGTCTCTGCAATCGCACTGTACACGCTCAAATAAGACAAAAACGCACAAATTATATAATGAAATGTGTTTGTTTCTTTTCAGAATGTAGCTACATGCATGACTGTGTGCGGTATGCGTGGCACATAATATCATCATTAGAGCTAATGAGAGCTCCCACCCTTTGTCCCTGTGTGTGTGTGCATGTGCTTTTTCCATGCTGACTTAGGAACACACAAACACCACATGACCCCAGTTGATAAATGGAAGATGGCCCATTCCCCAGCTCCTGATGTGACAATGTGAGTTTTAGAGAGAGAGAAGAAGGAAGAGCGAGCTAAAGACAAAAATTCTCCCCAAGTTCACTGCACACGTAGTCACTGGGTTAATTTCATAATATTAGATCCATTTCAACTGCAACTGACTTTTTTTTTTTTACATATTGCCAAATTTGTTTTTCTTCTTTATTTATGACACTTCCCATCTGAAGTCTCCTAAAACATCTTCCTTCCACTGCTACACACTGCAGGAAATACAGATACAAAAGAAAGATATTAATTCATTAAAATGAGTGAATTCAGTATCAAAATATCTGCTGCCAGAATAATCATAAATCAGCTGCAAATATGCGTTCAGTTGTGTTTGTAAAACAGAAAAAGTAATAGCAACAGGCAATTAGAAGATGCCCTGCCCTTGAGACGCTTCAGGTAGATATTTAAAATGTGGTGAAGATGCGACGGCGCTGGCACAACTGGAACACTGCACAGCCATGAAGGATACAATGTGACGTGTTAGAGAGCTGTAGAAACAGGTGTAAACGTCACACACACCTGTATTGGGAGGCCAGGTGTGGGTCGGTCAGCACACACATGCCGTTGAGGGTCATAGCCGGTCCCACTGCAGCATTTCTCTTCCTGACGGATGACCTTTGACCCACAGCACTGCAGCTTCACTGTGGCATTGCCAGCAGGGTGCACTGTGGGATATCCATCAGTGCCCACACAGCAAAGAGAGGCTGAAGAGTTTATATACTCCTCACCACAGCAGACAAAACCTAAACACAAGAAAACACATACAGTGTATCACATGGTTTCTATGCAGTTTCAGTCATATTACTGTAGCGTTAAATTATTTTTATATAACTCCATTCACTGTTCACTTACTGGAGTGTATGTTTTATGTCTCTAATGAATCAGGTTTATCTTCTTGATATGTACTGTAATGATGATGCAAATTTAGGGCCTACTCATATTATTCTGAGAATTACATTGGTTCATGAAACTGCACTCATGACTGCATTTTGAACAGTTGTTGGGAGACAACCCACTCTACTTCCATAGTCCAGAGCTCAGGTGTGAAAAAGGCTTATAATTAACGTGTTGTAGTTATATTTTTACATTCAGCCATGATATCTGAAATAACTCTTACAAAGAATACTGACCTTTTTAGTCTTTTCTTGTCCTCTATCCAATCAAAGTATCCTCTACTACTACTCATCTTATTGCCCCCCTCCTTTTCTGTTTTCCTCCCTCCATAACCTTTCCTCCTTTTTTCATACTCACCATATTGTAAAGATGTTCAGACAATGCTGGGCTGTGTTGTCTCTCCTCTAAGCTTCCCAAAGTCCCTTTCCCCCCCGTCTTCAATCCGTTTTCCCATTTACACATAAACAGTATTTATTTGCTCTGAATATTAGAGTGCATCTTCTCTTATCAAGCCTTGTATACATCCTTGTCTCCTCTTCTCTCCCTCCTCCTACTCTGTATGCCTCGTTTCTCTCCTGGATTCATCTCTCTACACAGCAGTAATATTCAGACTATGCTGTCGGAAGAGTGTGCAGGGGAAAGGAAGTGTGTTTTTCTGAGAGCTGCCACCTCTGACAGTGACAGGTGATGTCTGCCTGCCACTACTTCACCTTCAGCAGCAAGGTGACATTTAAAATACACACCCTCACTTCATTTCCCTGTAAATGTTTACCAGATAGTATCAGAAATAAAGCATGCTTCTTCACATTATCCAGCACTTCATATTTTAAATTCAAATGTATCATAATCCTCATAACTCTACAAGTTGAACCAGTCTGGCTACTGTGACATCAACACAGCCCATGGTGAAGGCGAGGACTTTGGCGCTTTGGCCTTGCAATGAATTAGGGCTATAATGTTGTCCTGCTCTAATACTGAGTCAGCAGCTGCCTGCTGTGAGGATGCACTGGAGGCATACAAATGAGCATGGCACAGCGTGGCTAAAATATCGCAAAGATGGACAACAATGAAGGACAAATGGTATTTTAATGCCACAATAAACACTTCTCATTTTGAAACAGACAGAAAAACTGTGATAATTTATTAGATAGCTAAAATAATTGAACTTTCATGAGGTATTTAGCAAATGTGTCCTAACAGCTGATCTGTGGCCTAGCTACCCTCAGCTGTGGTGTCCATTTTATTTGACAGCAGACATTAAACACTAAGTTGTTGCTTTGAACCACAGACTTGCCCTTAAATGGGGCTGCAGATAGTTGTGGAGTGATAAATAACTTATTGTTTCACACTAATCACTGTTATTTGAGCACATGTGCATGCATGTGATTGTGTGACATAAAGGCCGTCTGATGGCTAGTAACTTACTTAGCAGTGGCAGCTGTTGCAAAGTGGGGGCTTGGTGGCCAACAATGTTAATTTCTTTAATGAACACTATGACAAAATGTCTGCTGACGACCTATTTTTCAGGATGAAAATGAAACTCAAACTAAATAAAAGTAACAGTAATGAGAACTATCGTGAAATGTTTTACGTTTTTCCATCAACAGATAAAAAGTAAGTGGTAATGTGAAAGACGGATGAATGGACGTGAAGTAACTTAATGACCCGCTGCATCTGTAGGTGGTGATCGGCAAACCAATTTCCTCCACCAGCTAAAATATCTTTGGTTCAGGAGTTGAATTAGCCGCTTGATGTTTCACTACCACCTTACATTGAGTAATGTTCTATCTCTGGCATTAGAGCTTCTTGAAAGAAATAGGTTTGTGAATCATTTTCATCTGCAGTCCAGAGAATTATACACAAAAAATGGTGGGACACTAAGAAAATGTAGCAGCACGACATGTGGAATGGTAGGACAGTTTAACATGAAGCGCTGTGGATGTAGATGTAACAATGTTCCTTTCAGTCAGATATCTTGTGTTGCTATCAGTCAGTTCCAGGATTAGTATGACCAGTCAACCATAAATCATCTCCAAATGTTTGCTGCAGAGATTCGCTGTTTTAAGGTTATCTGAGGGTTTAGCGTCACCTCTCAAGCTGAACCCAGTGAAGAGGATTCTGGTACAAATGTGAGTGAGACCAACTTCTGCAGAGCAGAGGGACACATGAACCTCATGATAGACGGGAACAACACGTGTAACCATGGCTGTGTCCAACTGTCTCTCTGTATCATCTAACACAGTTCTGTTCAAACAACATATCTTGATCCTATCTCCTACTTTTCTGAATGTAGGAAATGCCAACCTTGACACTTGCGACATGAGGTTCAGGAGACTCCTTTCTCCACTCTCCATCTGCTTTCTCTTATTTTTTCTTACATCTCTAACATCTATATGAACTTATATATCTCTGTATCGCTACATCTGCCTGCCTTGGTTAGGTTATTCAGTGCTCATACTTCCTCCTTTTCTCTTTCCTTCCTTCTCTTTAACTCCTTTGTCTACTATTCTCTTCATCCTCCCATTTCTCACTTCCACCATTTCACTTTCAACCATGTATCTCCTTGTTCCTTTCTCTTGTTGCCACCTCCCTCTTATCCTCTTTTTTCCCTCTACATCTCTTGCCTCCTGTTCTGCAGCCAAACTTATATTATCACACATTCAGCAGAATTCCAGTGCCTGTCTTTGTAAGCGTTATCTGTGTACAGGTGTGTGTATGTCATGCTTGCACATTTTGTCAACATTTTCAAACACACACCACCCATTTTTTTATCCTCTCTGTAAGCTGTGTGTTTGTGCATTTATATGTATGTGTGTTAACATTTTAAAATAAACCTCATTTTCTCTGTTGCACAGCAGAATGCTTCAGCCCTAATCTTCAGATTTACGTTGGATTTGCATACATTTATTAATAGTGTTGAGAGCGCCACGTCAACACAAGGTGCTTAGACAACGTGAATTATTATTAGGGTTTCAGTCATTCCACTTAATGATAAATCAATATTTAGTCCTGCCAATGAACTACTGATAAAAATGTGTGTTGTGGATTAGGGTTATCCAAGCTCTCTAGGAGACCAAACCCTCTCCACAACTTTAAACAAAGCAAACATTTTAAATGCCTGAATACATTACAAGGGGTTTGGCACAAAGTGCAGAGCAAGTGCACGCATACAGTTTGTGTGCATGCAAAACAGCACATACACAGTCACAACGATGATGTTTCTGTTCACACAGACAAATCTGCACGCACACACACACTGAGAAAGGCTGATGTACTTATGAATGAACAATTTAAGCTTATCACAGACATGTACACTGGTACTGAAATACATGTTGTACAAATTGCTCAGTATCTTATTTACAACCTCTAAATAAGTACATTTAAAGGATTCTTATCAAACATCTTTGCTGTCATTTGATTGTTCAAAAACAACATTAGCTCTCATCGAACTCTCAATAAATGTTAACAGCCTCAAAATACAATATTGGTTGGGCTCACACACACACACACACTGTGTACTTTGTGCTCAGGGGGGCCAGACTATATGCCATGTCGAGAGATGAAATCACAGTGGATTGACTTTCTCACACAGTGCACACAGTTCCCCCGTGGACGCTGGGGCAGAGAACACGCACATAATCAAAGTCACACACGCACATATATAGACACCAACTCTTTTCCCATCTGACTGGTTGTCCTCTTGTCTTTGTATTTTTCTTTTTTTTTTTTAAATCTCAACCGACATTACCAGCTGGGCATGTGCGTGACATTGTGTGCATTTGTGTACATTTGAGTCTTGAGTGTTTATATGTGTGTGTGTGTGCTGAGCTCAGGTAAATGCTTTGGTGGCAGTTACATTTTCACCACTCTACAGGGATTCACTAAAGAGTGCCACATAGCAAGCAGCTGTTCGTGTCTGTGAGAGAGCATGAGTCTGGGATCAACAAAGAGAAAGTGATCATAAAACAAACAACAACGAGTTGACAAACTAATAAAATCAGCAAGCACAAAAAAAAAATCATGTTTTGTTTATACTGATAAAGCAATACTGGTCACATGTAGTGAGCCAAGGGGAAATGGATGATGGAGAGATAATATTTAAAGGGTTGATTATAGGAATGTAAAATCATTACATGAGCACAAGATGTCCTACAGCAGACTGGCACAGACTCCAGAGCTGATACCTTCACCTCACAGGTAATCCCACATGCCCTCAGCTATCCAGTCCTACACCTACTGCCAACACTACCTGTGTCCCCAGCCCGGCCAGAGACATCATAGCTGGCAACACGACAACCCATGGCCCACCTCCTGCAGGTTACCCATCATAGACATCCATGAGATCTGGTGAGCTGGCCTGCTGAGCAGCAAGTAGATGATCTCTAGTACCTCTGTGACTGCAAGGCTTGGGTGCATCATCGGGGCGATGTGATGCTTCATGTCAGCGTAAACAACTCTTAGGTTTAAGTGCCACTTTTAGCAGAAGATGTGACAAAATGTGAGACAACACATGATCAGAGGTGTCTGATCACAAAGTTTTAGTGGTGCCAAATTCACATCATTTAATTAAAATCATTTACACCTTTTGTCATTGTCCCTGTAATTTGTGAATGGGCATGCAAGTAAACTACACTGAAATCAATAATATCTGGGGAACATGTATATATAGGGTATATATAGGGTGGGTGTGTGCGCACCCACACACACACACTTCTATCTTTGGGTGGACAGTCATTGATATAATGCATTTCCCTAGCCCCTAATCCAAACCTTAACCATCACCTGGCCTAACCTAAACCTAATTCTAACCTGAACCCTAAAACCAAGTCTTAACCCTCAAAAACCTGTTTCAGAAAGTCCTCTGTGAAACGAAAAATACTTCTTGGTCCTCACTATGTAAGTAAGTACAAGAACACACACACAGACCAGTCTGTCCTCTTCTCTGTGCTTCTGACAGCTTCTGGTTTTATTATTGTCAGTCATTAAAGCAAACTTAATAGAAAAGCCATCATCATAAATACATTAACAGAGAGAGAAATGTCTTCCTGTGTTGAGAAAGTGCTCCATCTTCTAAAGGAGCCAGACGCTGCTGTTTGGAATGCACTACTGTTAGCCATTTGCTACCCATCATTGATGAGGGGCTTTTGGCAAAGATAAACACCCACACAAACAGAGAGACATACACACTCAGAAACCGATGAGCATATTTTTGTCTGAAACAGTAAAGGCTATGGAAAGAATGCGCCTCTCTCTGCATAAAGAAACGTCACATTCAGATATGTACAGAGAAACAGATACAGAAAGTCAAACATCCATTCACCAGGTTGAATTAATAAGCCATGCACACTTGTACACACTTAAACACACAAATGCATCTCACAGCTCCACCAGGCTCGGAGTGAGCTAGCTTAACTACTGGGATAATTTCCCTCAAGCAAATGGTCACTGTGCCCTTGAAAAACGTATTTGATTATTACTTTTTCTCCCCCTCCTCTTTTTTCTTTTAGCATCATCACAGCCATTTTCATCACGCGCTCTGATGATGGCACGGCAAGGCGCGTTAAGATAACACCCTGGCACCACCAGGCTTTTAACACTTAAACGGTGAAAAGGGATATTCAGATTTGTCCTTGAATGTTTGGATGGGGCCTGCTGGGCTGGGACAGAGGGAGTGAGTGAGTGAAGGAGTTAATGAATGCACACATTTTAAGATTCATTCTCTTTAAGAAAAAGTGAGGTGTGGAGGGCATTCATGGTGGTGAGAGATGGGGGTAGGCGGGGCTGAAGGGCAGATGGAAGAGTTAAAAAACATGCACTGTCAAGAAAAAAAGTGTGAAGGGGAAATGATTAGTGGAGCACGCACAGTGAGGCAGGGGACTTGGGGAAAGCCACGGAGCAACAGGACGTTAAAGACACCACACACATTCCTTTAAACACCACTGAATCTCACCTAAGTCTTAACTAAACACCTTACATACAAACTCAGAGAGAGAAAGGAGGAGCAAATAAGGAGCTTAAAAGTCAGTCTTGAACCTGCCACACAGGAGGAAATGCTGCAGGAAAGCAGAGGCATTTTGAGCAAAACCAAACAGTATTTAATCTACTTGAAAGTAAAATGAAAACCGTTTAAACAAACTGGCAGATTTGAAAGAAGGGATTTAGCACTGAGACTGTTACTGTAAAACAACTGGCAATGCTGCAGAAAGGATTACAGACTATCTCAATAACACCCCAGAGACTAAAACTGGCCAGAGTAGAAGATAGGCTGGCTGTTATTGATGGCATAAGAAGTGCTACTTGAACAGGTAAGCTTGAATAAAGTCATGTGTGGACAGGATTGTATTTCGACTTGCTCCATTTCTACACTGGCAAAAGCAACACGTCAACATCAGTTGCAGTACCCCGTCAGTGACACACTGGATTTGTTCTGCAACAGTAACACTCAGAAGCACTTTGACAGTGCTCACGACCCAACACAAAATTAACGCAGTAACTCTACGTTCGCAGTTCTTATGCAAGGGGGTGCATTGGTCAAGGGGGTGAGGGGTTGCAGGGGGAGTGTCGTAGACATGTACAATACAACCCTGTGGTGACGAGTTGATGTGAGTGGCTTCATTCCTGTTTCCAGCCCACGAGCTGTGTTTTGGTTAGCCATGGTGCTAACGTAGCCTACTCTACCTTAGCACCAATTCTACCACCAGTGTGTCAGCACCGATAGGAAACACCGTTTAACATCCAGTACCCCAACTAACAAAAACGTACGGCGTGTCATGGTTCGTTAACTGGCTCAAATTTGAGAGTGAAAAGCAGTAAATGCTCATGCTAACAAAGTTAAAAAAAGTCTTTTCCCGTGGGTGTTCACATTCTGGCCGTCCCCTGTACTTGATTGGCCAACGCAGCACCTCTGTCAGATGATGTCACCATCTGGTGCAGCAAAATGTTTTCAACACATAGGGCTGCGTTGTTTTGCCGGAGCCCCCTGTGGTGCTGCGGTGAATGCACTCCCCCATAGAAACGAATGGAGAGGGCTGCATTCACACAGCTCGTAAAATGGAAGAAAACAGCCTTGAAGCCTAAAAAGAGGCTTTGTGTGTCTTTTTCATATTACCATTGGGGGGTGCCCAGGCCAGAAATCACAAATCCTACTCATAGAAAGAAGCTTTTAATTCATTATCACATATGGGAGAATAATACGTAATAGTGGCAAAGAGAGAATAAATGCTTCCATCAGCTAATCACAAATACACTTAAAATCTGCTAGAGTGCAGGGCAGGTGGGTACACAGAGTGGATGGGCAGGAATAATATCAACGTCCACTACAGTTTACAGAGGGAAACCTGTGTTCTTCTGGACAGGTTAGGTGAGGTGATGTTTCTGACCCTGGTTTTGTTTCACGCGACTTACACTCCATGTTTTCCTGTTTCATTGTGAGTGCTCGTGCAACTGTGTGTACTGTGTGCATGCATTTCTGTATGATCATGCATGCATGTTTTATTTTGAGTGTGTGTGATTGTTGTTGTGTTTGTGTGTATATCTACGTGTGCACATGTACACACAAGCCAGCGCATGTATCTGTTGCCAGACGGCTGTCTCCTGGCATTGCCGTTCCCCCGCAGTGTGTGTGTATGGTTGTTGACAGTGTGGACGGTAATGTGTGATAGATCGCACTTCAGGGACCCCATAATCACATCAGCCTAACCTAGTCTATCAGCTGGGCACAATGGGATACCCTTCACTCCTCCTTTAATCTGCTCCATCTCGCTCTTCACCACTCTTCTGTTCTCTCCATTTATCTGATGCATATTTTACAGTTTTTAAAATGTTTCTTTTTCTCATTTGTTTCATTTTTTTTACAATGTAAACTGTACTTTATTTGTATCCTTTCCTTATTTCTCTTTGTCTTTTTACTACTTCTACTACTACCTCTACTTTATTTTGTATACATTTCTTACAATGTTTATGTATTTCAGTTTACACTATTTATTTTAAATGGAACTGTATCTGAAGTCCTCTCTTACACCCGTTTTCTCTTTCTTCCTATTTTTTCTTTCACAAATCTTTCTCTCACTATATCAGTAAAAAACACAAAACCCTGAACATGTTGAGGGAGCACTGAGAGTGAGTGATGCCAAGGTTAAGTAGCCTATCCTTTAATAGGTGTTGCTGTGTGCATGTTGTGTGAGTGTCTTGAAACAGACGTGCGGGGTCGAGGTTGCATAGCTGGCCCCAGGGCTCCCCGACGGTGCAGTGCACCCGGCAAATGGCCCTTAGCCTTGCTAGCACCGCTAGCCCTACAATCCATCATACCATATGTTCTCAATGGGGAAGCTAACGCTAATGACGGATGAGTGGTTGGGAAGGGGGCACATAAATGGAGGGAGGGGGAAGAGTTGGATAAAGAGAAAGAAAAGGTAGTGGGGGGGGCAAACACGGCAGAGGATAAAACAGAGGAGGTGGGGAAACAAGTTGGAGTAAAATTAAAAAGATGAAAAAGGAGAATAGGAGGCAAATAAATAAAAGAAGAAGGAGGAGAGGAAGAGAAGGTTGGGAGCATATGCACTCCTTGGGAGGCCTCCTCAAATGAAGGATGACCATATAGCCTGCTCAGCTGGAAGAGAAAAGTGGATCTAGTGGAGGAGAAGAAAAAGAAACAGATGAGATGAAAGGAGTGATGGGATGACAGAGTAGAAGGCTACTTAAAAATTAACAAACTCATTATTTGAAAGTTAAAACTCTGAAAGAAAGAGTTACTGACAATGTCATGAACATGTTGACAGGGAGAAAATAGCCTTTCCACAGACTTGCTTTTTAGGAACTTTCCTGTCATATGTTCCAGCCTACATGTATGTTTGTGTGGCCAGGGATCTTTGTGTGTTTGCGGGCAGGCTAATGGAGTACTGTATGCCTGTCCATATGGGGCCATTGTTTATGTGTGATGAATAGTGTCCACGTGTCTGTCTCTGGCACTCAGCACTAAGCGAACCCTGCTGAGGGCACCCTGTTGACTGTGTATGTGTGTGTGCATGTGTCGATGCATAAAATATGTCTTTATGTGTGAGAGTATTTGTGTTTGTGTGAAGGAAAGAGAATGTGTGTGTATTAGTCCTGCTGTGTGCTTGGCAGTGCCCTCAACGGTGCCATCCAGAGTGTGTTTCATCATCATCTGCCATGACAAAGATGTCTAATGACACACACCTACACCCACACACACAGTCCCATCTGTGCCATGGTATCCGGGTGCTTTGGGACACTGCGGGAGAGGAAGAGAGGGAAACGACCCCACGTTCCTGCACCATGTGTCTACCTCTAAACCCTTGCTTTACTCTCCTGTCATTTTTGATCTTTCCCTCCATTCTCTTTTCCTACATAAAATTTAAGATCTCAACTAAAAAAACTCTTGACCACTTGACTTTTTGTATCCAAAAGGTTTAAGTAAAGTAAACTTCATCCAGTTTAGGTTCACTGTTGAGCAAAAAACTTAATTCAACACAGTCTCTTCATTATGTCCATCTTACTGAAAATATTTTAACAACTGTGGATCCTTCACTCACCTGGGGTATATGTGTGCACTCGGCCCCTCTCAGCGTCACCGCAGCACATCAGTGTGTCATGTACAATTTGGCCTCCACAGCACTGGACCTCATAGCCATCATGGAGGCTCCCACTACAGCAGAGTTGGCCAAATTTCTTGGAGTAAGGAAACCCCCCACAGCAGCTGTCACCCAGCCCCACTGAAACGCGGCCCTGTGAGTGGTCAGGACAGCAGTGCTCATCTAGAGAGGCAAGGACAGATGAAGGAAGCATTAGTACAATGTAGAAAAGATAAACATAGGTCAAGTAGAACAGTACAAGTCCCATGAAAGTGTGAACATAGGAAATGATTTGAAACTCACTGGTTTTCACATGAACATAATATCCTCCACAGCACCGGTGGTCAAGAACTGCTGGCAGCAGACTGCCTTTACAGCAGACATGGTTGGAGGAATTACTGAACCTCAGGTAACTGCCCTCGCAGCAATGATGATGTGGTTTCTTAGTGTACAATAGTCCACCGCAGCAAACCTGATTAACATAGATTTGCACACAGATATACCCACAAACACACACACACACACACACACACACACACACACACACACACACACACACACACACTATGTAAAGTAATTTACTTAATAGTTTCCACAGTAACACAAATGGAAACATGGTACAGTGGTACATATATTACTGGTGCCTAAACTCATAAGTCCTGTTTTGATAATACTGATTTCTGTCCTGATTTTATTACATCTCTGTTTTGTCAGCATCAACATAAAGGGCCCTGTCTTGAGGATCCACGGCATCTGATCGAGATGTATTGGTGCAAGTTGTGTTTGTGTCCATGTTCATTTCGGTAGTTTAACAATGAGGAAAAATGGCTCAAGCACCCGTGCAAGTACCGAAAAGGCTGAACTTGATCTCCTCATTAAAGCAGGGGTGTGTTTTGGGCGTAACATGCAGTTATTCAATCAGTGTGTAACCTCACATCCCCTTTTAGAAACATGCGAGTTTGAACATTTCACAGATTACTAGTATGCTGATGGACATGCCAGGTCAACTAATTAGGCAATTTAAGTTTTGCATGTCCTGTGCAGCGCATCCCAGGGTATAACGATCACTGTGCACGCACCTAGAAAGGTGTGCATCACAACACGGTCAAAGCGCCCATTAACTAGCAATGATGATGTGACTGTTGACCACAGACCTGGTTTTTGCTGCTCAGTGGTGCAGTCACTTTGTGCACCCTCATATTACCAACACGCCAAAAATTTACCTGGACACACCCTATTTTCATCCAGACACACCCGCCGGTGTGAAGTCAACAGACTGCTGCTCGGTAACAAGGCATTGCAATGCGCATGTCATGAAAACGGTAATTGTGCAGGTAAGAAACCAGAAAACCCAAAAGTGCTACCTGCACTGCACGCCATGCGTTTGTTGCAAGACAGGGGCTAAAGACTCAATATACTGCTTAACTACAAACATAAAACGCTGATGAAATAAAGTTTCTCAGTGACTTTGTTCTGTGGGGGCCAATGTATGCTGGGTAGTTTCACTGTCTGGCAGTGAATGACAAGCATCGAAGTGAATGCAGATGACAAGTTCATCTGTTTAGAAAAATTAATCACTAAGAGGAAATAAGAAATAAGAAGTGTGTGCTCAGAAGAGAAAATGTGAGAGTGTGTAAATGTCTGAGTCAATATTTATTTTTATGCTTGTGTGTGGGCCTAATGTCTGGTCAGGACTAATATCCTCAGGGAGTACACAGCAATAAAATATTCTGCACTTCAGATCAGCAGCCAAAGCAGACTCTGATCTTCTATCCTGTTGCTGTTGTAGAGCAACAGTTTTGAGGTTGCTCATGGCGAGTTCTAGTTAAAAGAATGCCTCTTGCATTTGGGTGAAACCTGAGAGAAGAACATTGCAGTGCCGAGCAAAAAGGAAGAGAAATACTGTCCTTCCCTCCAAATACATCATTCTAAAGTGCTTCGTCATTTACGTTATATCTTGCTTTTCAGAGTGTCAGGTTTTGCATGACATCAACAGACCTGCATTACATGTTGTGTACAGCAGTGTGCGAGGAAAACATGAAAAATGCAGTCCTCATTTGCGTGGTTTTAACCTGTAAATGTTGTTCTTAACTGTAAATACAATACTGTAAAAGTCCATGACAAATGTATGTGATGAATAAACAAACAAATGGATAAAAATTATTCTGTACATACACACAAAAGTAATAATAAAAAGAAAATGACGTGAACATAATCACCTGTATGTCAGGATGGAAGCAGGATGTCCCACACACACCATGACTCACAGGACACTGCAGGTAGGAACATCTGAACCTTACACCGCCTGCACCTCCCCACTCTTCCCCTACAGAGGATATGACCCACGATAAGCTACCGGCACATGATCTCAGGGTCCGTCTTAAGACCTCATAACCCAACATGACACCGCTGGGTCTGCCAGGACAGGACCAGTCCAACCGCACCGCCCTGAGAGAGAGAGAGAGAGAGAGAGAGTGAGAGAGAGAGAGGTGGGGTTCTCCTTCACACTTCTTTCACACACAAACTCTGTCATACCCAAACACACACATGCATTCAGGCATGGTTAATGATGCACAGAGTTGAGTTACAGTGTCAGGGTGTGTGTATCTTTATACACTTCACGCTATTGATTTTCCTCTTTTTTATCTCTGACATTTTTGGCAGGGAAAGACCTGTGTAGTAACAAACTGACTTACAACTTCCACAGTCTGCAAGACAGAAAACAAATCACAAATCACCACTGCCTTTGCAACTGTAAGATTTATAACCTTGCAATTTGGGGGTAGGAGGGCATTTTAAATGTAATTCAATTTTAATGGCTGCAAATAAAAGGTCAGTTTATCAACATACTTTATTAACTTTGTAAGCTCTTAAAAGCAACTTTGAGATAATCTGATTACAATATATTAACATAATTTATGTAACATTTCTTTAATCAGGTAATCTTAATACTAGAATAATTTTATAGATTAGTATATGCTAACAATTTTACATGGGCCGTCAGTAATGATTACTGAATACTGAAGGTGAGTTTCATTCAGTCTTGACAGACTACTGAAGCTGAGAACATTCAACATTCACTGTCTTGGAGGCCTGGATGCTTTACAGCAGGAGAAATAAGGCCAGGTCTATAATTGTTCCTACAGCATCTGATTTTAAAGTACAATGCACCAATAAAAACAAATGTAATGTTATACTGGACTGATACCCAGTCATCTAATGCTGAGTAAAATTACATTTTTATACAGTCCTTGTGTCTTGCTTTGCCTTCACAAGACAAAAACATATGCATATCCCTGAGTTGCTCTGTTAGTGCCAGCTGTATTGATTCTGTTGTGTCAAACCTGCAAACCAACCATTTAAGCAGCTGATAAAAATGAACAATTACTAAATTCAAACCAAAGGCAATAAAAATTTCATGAAGAATTGCAACACTCTAATAATGGTTATCATCATCAAAGCAGAAGTGAGAACAAGCAGAAAGTGTTACGACTGACACAGCGCATCTCTGTCTTACCTGGGGCTGATCACTTGGGCCTGCGGCGCAGCCAGGTCGGTAGGCAGGTCCTCCACCGTAGTTGTCTGTGTAACATTACTCCTAACACACGCATACACAGTACACACCTCCACCTGAAATGCACAAACACAGCAGATCAAAACAAAATGCACATTTGTGTGCCTGTGCTTGGGTGTGTATGTCTATTTGTGTGTGTACCTGTACACTGTAGAGAGTGAAAGGCAGTAGGCCCCCCAGCAGGTAGGACCCTGAGCTGTTGTCGATGCTGCTGCGGAGATGGTCATTAACATAGATGTGGTAACCAGTAACTACTCCATTGGGCTGTTGAGGAGGAAACCAGAGCACGCGTACTGTGCTGCTGTTTACCAGAACCACCTCTGGGGCAGACATCCCGTCCGGCTCTGAGGACGACACATGTGAGTACAGAAACCCAAAGCAGTTCAGTGAAAAACAACAAACACAAGAGAGCACGAGTGACCACGGCCGCCGTCGCTGTCGTACAGAAACCCAAAACAGTTCAATGAAAAACAACAACAAAACCTTTAACAGCTTGAGATGTGGTGATCTTCATTCAAACAAACAAGTTTGGGTTACACATTACAGTAATGTGATTACTGTTTTCAGTAACAAGTAGTGTAAAGGATTACAATTTGAGATTCATTAATTACATTACAGTTCGCAACCTCAGTAATGGTCCATTACTGACAGCTGAGTAACAAAAGTAAAGTAACAAGTAATGCTACTTGTAACTTTTGCTACAAATTAGTAATATACTCACCTTTTCAATTAGTAATGTTTAAAAAGTAACTGATTACAATTTTAAGGCAGCTTGCCCAACACTAGTGGTGCATAGATGTACGAACCAGCTGCATATGTGTCGCACTTTGATTTTTCCAGCCCCGTTTTCACACCGCAGTCATTTGACAACTGCTTGTAAAAGCAAACCACTAAAACTTTAAAATGCCCTGAAACACTGCTGCATTAGTGATCACTGAGCCAGGCTTAGAAAAGTTCATCAAAAACACTGTGTGTTGTGACGATGAGGTCCCCAGTATTCACTGCTAGTAGCAGCAGCAGTACCATTTTCACACAGTGAAGTGAGACACAACTTTACAAACTTTTCAATCATCAAACTCCTTTAATCCTCCATCATCCGAGAGGTGTATATGTCTGTGTGTGTGAGGGAAAGAAAGAGAGCTGGACAAACAGAGCCTCTAGGCACGAGACTGTGTGTCCAGCACGGCAGAGAGGGTTTGTGTATGTGACAGAGAGAAACCAACAGTGTGTGTTGATGTGCATATGCGACAGGGCAACTCTGAGTCTGTGAGTTGTGAGGCAGTGAGACCACCTGTGTGTCTGTTTGCAGTGTTGTGCTGATAATGCTATCTAGTAGTACATGAACTGTACAGCAGTACAGCACACAGTATAGGGTGAGGTTTTTGTGTATATTTTTGTGAATTTTTCTTTGACATAGCCTCTACCTTTCTTTAATCCCTTTAATTCCCTTAGTTCACTTTTACAAGAAATTCTCTCTCAGCACCTCCACAGAGGACATGCATACTAAAACTCTTATGGTGATGAATATATTATGGTAATCTATAGTGCCTTCAAGTATAGTCATAGGCAAAAGGAAGAAGTAGTACAGGGACAGTGAAGGACACCAGAAAATCTGATAGAGAGGACAAGTAAGAGATCATCTGTGGAGGAAGAAATGGAGGCAGCAAGAAATCAAAAGTCAAAGAGAGGGAGTAAAGAACAGACAGCAGTGTTAATTTAACTGCCCAACATTTCTTTAAATGATAATAGTGTTGAATTGTGAGTGGAAAAGAGAATGAGAACCAAACAGAGCAAGTGCATATGAGAGACGGTGAGTGAGATGGGTAATTATACAACCTCTATCTATAATTCTAAGTGGAAATGCACTCAGCTAAGGGAAGTTAGCCCAATTCATTTGCTGCCAACGCACTTACCTAAACCCAACCTATTGCTCTACATTTCATTTACTGCAGGATGGTATTATTAACGCAGTACTGCACACCGAGTCTCTTTCACTCATACTTATACACACAGACACATTTTTCTTGCCAATTAGTCCTGATGTTAGCATTGCCCTATGGATTGCAGGCCATGTTAAGATGGTTGGTAGGGTTGAGCTGCATTAGTTAAAATATATTTGGCCTTGGTGTGTGTGTGTGTGTGTGCACCCTTATGGCTGTAAAATAATGAAATTACCTCCAGAGCCCTCTCAGTTAAACGATCCGTGCTTTGCCTTTAGCACCTAATGATTTTCTAATGTTTTTAATGCACTTTTTATTATACTGCTCAGATTAGAGAGAACGAGAGAGGCCTCTGACATATGATTACACTGAAACATTGGAGGACCTGTGATGGGGAAAAAGACACACAGAGACGGTCAGAGACAGAGGTTGAAATGGAGACAGAAAGAAAACAACAGAGTAAGCGGCCTCTGACATATGATTACACAGAGCGATTTGAAAGACAACCCCAGAGAGATTGAGCTGAGAAGTGAAGAGGAAATAGAAAGAAAGGTCCCTATGACAGTTAAACATCCTGTGAAATTCATAGCTAAAGGCAGTAAAAGCTGACCCCAACTGAAAAGGGAAACATGAATAGATACAAGAACTGATGTACTTTACTTTTATATTCAACTTAATACGCTCCCTCAGAGCTCCAGATACATCCTGGTAAAGAGCCTTCAAAGCATCATTAAATAACTTTTTGGTAAAGCCCAAGTGCTGTGTTGGTATTGTACTGTAAAAATATACTGTACAGCCTGCATAAGACATGAGAGCAGCCATGTTTGCTGTCTTGTTTGTCAGGTAGAACCCAGCTTGCATATATACATTAGGGGTGTTTGTGTGTGTGTGTAGCACCCTCATGCCTTTTACAACACCTTAAATCTGCCACATACACACATTTTGTATTGATTTCATGCCTCAGTACATGATGTGCTTAACATCTCCTGGGAAGAACAGAGACGCAGAGAAATGCACATTAACACAGACACCTCCCTTGGAGGTACTGAATTTGTGTATTGTATATGACACACTGTTATATACATTCACAAAACACCCTCACACTTATACTGTACGTGAAGTAAGAATACATTTATACCAGCTTCCCCCAGTTTACTAGATTTTTTACCAGTTTCTAAAATCAGCTGCTGACAAAAAAATATATCCATATTCACGTACCTCCATCCTCTGTGGTGACGTTAACTATCGCCTTAGTTGTGTTATGTGCTCCATTGGACACCTGGAGTGACACCAGGTATGTGGTACTGGGCCAAAGGTCCCTTATCACTGTAGAGATGGTCTCAGGGGGTAAAACCAAGGTTTGACTAAATTGGGGAGACTCTATTGTGAGAAAGTAAGACTCCACCTCTCCCTGCAGGTCTTGCAGTGCTAAGACAGACATGACAAGAGATGGAGAAGAGTGAAGGAGCAGTCAAAATAAAAACATTAAGTCTCTAGTTTGGGATCTGACAGAACAATATTCACACAGGATCATGTTGTGAAGGTGTATGTGCATCTAATACACACTGTTTGCTGTGGAGACCATGCGTGTTTCTGAGAGAGGGTAATCTTACAGGGCTGCGTCCAGTTGACATGTACAGCAGTGTGACTGACAGCATGGGCAGACAGGGATGAGGGGTGGTGGGGAATGCCTGCCATGGTCACCGCAGTAACAACCTCTCCTGACAAGTAGCCCACATCATTACAGACCACTAACTGGTACTCGTAACGGGTGAATCTGTTGAGAGACAACATTTACATTTCTGATAAAGGGAGCTACAACATGTTGTGCTTTCCTTTTGAGCTAAAAATTCTCAATAAAAAGGGTGTTTAGCTAAAAAAAATAACAAATGTTAATATAGACAAGTTCTTTGAGCAAGAAGAGCCTGAAACTGTGAATCAATCCTCCACTGCTGCAGCTAAGAGAAATAAACTGATATAAGGGCCTCAAATTTCAGTCATGTCTGTCTTTGTCTGTGTTTGTTCACTCTAAAGTTACTCTGTTAGTTCTGCTAATATGGAGATGTCTATTAAACAAGCACTAATTAGTTTCCCATAAAAACCCAATAAAGTGAAAAGTGCTGACACATTCAAAAGTTTGTCAGTTTACAACTTGAATAAAGCACATTAGGCACACAAACCCGAAAAGAGTACAGCCAGAGCTGTTTAGCAAGCATAGAGGGAAAAAGTCAGCTTCCACCAAGTGCCAAACTGAGATTAGGGGACGCTGTGTGAAAAACAATTTAATTCTTTGGGATATTTGCTTAATGTATCTTTGAGCGGTATTAAAAGATCGGCATCAGCGGCACTGCAGCACTGCCGTTTGCTCTAGAGCTCATTTCAGTAATCTCACCTGCTTAGGCCTTTATCTTGGTAGAACAATTTGGTGCCGGAGTAAACATGGAGCCAGCGATGGAGATCTTCAGAGGGGGGAGGGGATGAGGCTGGTTCTGTGGGGACAACAGCGACGGCCAGGGGCTGGTGGGTTTTACATCTGAGCAACTTGTATCTGAAGGGGAGATTTGAATAAAAGAAAACACACAGATGGTTAGATGTTTAGGAATGCATTAGCACACAAGACTTGTACACAGGTGAACCAGTATGTGCACACAGATGCACACTGTACATGCAGATGCACACTTGCGCAGACTCTTATCATTCATTTCCTCCTCTTCTGATGTTTTTCATCAGCTCCATTCTGTTGCTTCACTGTATCTCATCCCTCCCTCCCTCCCTCTGCCCCTCCCTCTGTTGTTTTTTCTGCAGGATTTGTGTTTTCCTCTCCCCACAGTGATGCTAATTTCTGCTGTAATCAGAAGAGAAGGGCTTAATGCCGCCTTTTAACCAACCCACTTAGACAAACAGAGCTGAGCAGAGCAGAACAGAGAAACGGGCTCATGCATTTTAATCGCCTGCCAGGAAAATGGACCTTTATTTTAGGGCTAATCGCAGACAAAGTAGAATAGAACAGAACAAAACGGACCAGAATGTGCATTAGGACTGAGAAAACACTGAGTAAAAAATGCACAGCACTTAGCCCATTACCATAGCACTCCTGTTAGCTTGTTAACGTGTTTCTATAGGTTTGTTTGCTTGAGTTTTTCAGCTGCAATTGAACACAGTGTGTGTCTGATTCCAGTCTATTTTAAACTTTGAGCTATAGATAATAAATAAAACAAGACTGATTAACAATATATAACAGAGTGGTTCCACACAATGGACTCCATACACTGAGTTCCAGACATATGAACTCTTCCCTATTTCTATTGGATTGCAGATGTGTACCTGTTTGTGTTCTTACCATTCTTTCACTTGGTTTAGTTCCATTAGAAAATAATAAAAGCAATTTGTTTGGTTCTGTAAATTTTGAAAGTATCAATGCATGTCTGAACCACAGAGGTGTGTTGTCTCATGTACAGGTACAACCAGCAAGATGCCTATGCCAAGGGTTAGAAACAGTCATGTTTTCTGAAGTGTTTTGACAGATTGCTTCTGCCACCTCATACACACACAGTTCAGAAAGCAGTTGGGCTGATGAGCTAAAAGCTAAGGAAAAAAAAGGCATGGTTTCTGTGTAGTAAGATACTTACCTGATGTTAGGTCCATTGGGCCTGCTTGGTGGTCGCCAGGAAATGGCAAGGAAAGACTCACTGATAGCCACTACTGACAGTGGTGCAAGGCCTTGAGGGCTTGTGGGTAATGTGACTGCTGGAGTGGGCGAGCTTTCCGTACATCCTCCAACATGTCCACCACCCATGGCACATGCCAACACACTAACACTGTAGTTTGTGTATGGAATCAGGTCCATTATGGTGATGTTGAGCTCAGACATGTTGCCGCTGTCATGGATATGGGGCTCCGGGAGGCGGATCTCATACCCATGAATTTCTCCGTTGGGAATAAGAGGACGAGACCATGTGACCTGAAACAAAAGTGGGTTAGTCTGAAGTTACGGGTTCTTCATTTAAAAAGGCAGCACAAATCAGAGTGGAAGAGAAAAACAAAAGGCCTAGTTCACCTAGTCCTTTCTAACTGTCCTATCATTATCCCAGAAAAGTCATCTCATTGGTTGGCTGGGCATCCTCAATGTTCTTGGCATGCTGAGGACAGCAGAAAGCTTTTAGATGAATGAACTACAGGAAGTCATGGCACAGGGTGCACACGCACGCGCGCGTGTGTGTGTACAGAGAGTTTCAGTTTGTGTTCATGCAAAAACATATCTACTTTAGAGTGTGAATGCTTCTGTGGTCAGGTTTGAGTGCTACTCATATAGGTAGCAATTGTATGTTAATCATTCCTAAAAATATAAACATGCTGCATTAGGATGGTCACTTTTGTGTGTATCTCTTGGGGGGTAAGATCACCTGACTTTGACTTGAGTGGAAGATTCCTTTCATTACATTTAAAACAGGGTACACACAAACACACGCAAACGCACAAACACCAAGCTAAAATAATGAAAGCGGCTGGTAATGGAATTGCTTCATGCAAAAACAAAAGGTTGTCGTCGTTGAGCAGTGCATCTGATTTGGAAACGGTTCAGTCTGTCAGCATTTCAGGGTGAGGATGAATGCAAATGGCACACACACAATGGTAAGACACACACATACTCACCTCTGAATTACAGATATCAATACAATAAATGCTGTGCTTATACATCCACACACAGACACTTGCACCTAAATTCAGCAAATTGCACACACACCCGTGTTCACATACTGTGTGCTTCAACGCACTTGTGGATACAAGTGCAACAACTGATCAGTTCGGAGCTTGTTGGGACATGAATTTAGGTGATTAAGTGGAATGAACGTCAAGAGTAATTATTTCTCACACAACCTTGATATTCATTTAATAAGTGACACTAAGGTGATAGAGGACATGCACACACACACTCCAAGCCATACACACACAACCACATATGGGCAGGGTCACGTGGAGTTAGGTAGCTCATTTCCCAAAGTGCGTGTTGGGTGTGTTTTGTGGTGGAAGTCATTTACAGATTGAATACCCGAATGTAATCTGGAGACAGTGAAGACAACAGAGACCCTGGGCTGATACAGAGCACCAGGACCAAGGCCAGTACTGTGTGTGTGTGTGTGTGTGTCTCTGGCTATGCGTTTATGTGTACATGAGTGAAAGAGAGACAGGTGACAGCTGGATGTAAAAAAGAATAGGAAGGTGTCTAAGGACATAATGTATGTGTGTGTGTATTTGTGCACTTGTGCTATTACATTGAGAAACAAAGCCTGAAAGGCACAGTATGCCATCCTCTGCAGCTGACAATACAGTTAATTTACTCATACACACATCAGTGCCACTGTAAACACATTAAGGTAAATTTATCAACAGTTTGGCCCACTGTGCGTGTCCCTTGGTCACTGAGAAACTCAAACCCACAGTGGCAACAGTGCTAACCACTGCGCCACCGTGCTGCCACATATCAAATCAACAAGATCAAATCACAAAAATGGTTTAAAAAGTTTATCAATATGCATTAAGTATAACTAACTAGCTGCTATAAAACACATAGCTGTTGCCTTTATTTACAGTGTTTTGTATCTGTGGTCTTGTTCTTCTTCATCCCTCACTACCTCACACAAACTATGAGCTCTCAAAGCCAAAAGGGTGCTGTACTGTATGTCACCATGCTCTACACTTTGGCTGTGCTTTGATATCCTGACCTTTAAAAAGAACATAAGCCAATTGAAAAGAAACTACAAAGCTGATGGTTAAGCAGGTGTGAGTGAATACCTCCACGAGGAAAAAGTGATATGCAACAAAGGAGAGAACAAAAAGCCATTTGAAAATGAAAGGAGATACTCAAAACGCTCTTTGTTGTCAAGGTCAATTGGTAACCAGGAAGCAGCCTGCCTGTCTGTCCAATTAGCAACTACCAGGAAGGAACACTTTCCTTCTCAGACCTGTGACCTCTAAAAGCTGTGCTGTTGCAGAGATGACAGGGGCGATGCTGGAATGATGACAGATATTAGCATTTTTCTACAGTTAGCATTAGTGCAGGGCTGTGAGTGTGTGTGTATGTGTGCATGCATATAATATTGTTTCAGTGGCTTTCATTGATAGGCCTTGATGTGGGATTAGCCAGTGGTGGAACTTAACTCTGGCTCCTCCTTCAAAATGGTCGACAGGAAGGAAGCTGACAGGGTCACAGCCTCACCCCTTTTCTGAAGGAGACCTTGAGCTGAATGTTTTTCTGTCTCATTAAATCCCAAAAGAGGAAGAGAGAAGAATCAGCATGACATTGGTTTATCTTTTCTACTCTACACTTCTGTCAAACCCAGAGTGACTGAAGAGATTCTCTATGAAGTTGCATTGTATTTTTGTGTATTTTCCCTTGAAAGAAATGCTTTATAAATTCTGAGACCTTCTACCATTTAAATGTAATAAAAGATATTGTAAATCACCTTCCGTAGCAGCTGACTTGGATTATATTTGTGCATTTCAGCTCTCATGCCACAAACAAGGTGTTTTACTAAACCTGTAAAAGATCAGCTAAAAAAGTGTCCTTACCTGAAGCGACTCTGGCCCCAAGACCTTCACCACTGGTGGACTGAGACCAGCTGGCCGAGAAGGTCTGGTGGTGACACTGACCCAAGGTCCTGGAAAAATGTAACAAAAAGGGGTTAAAGATCATAAACTGTTTATTACATCTAACTTAGTTAGCCAAAATTAATTTCACATGAAGCCCATTACTACAGACAAACCTGTGGTGTTGCCTGCCTGGTTATGGAGCACAAGTCGATACTGGTAGCTGGTCCAGGGACTGAGAGCTGATGAAGAGTCCAGGAAGGAAAGAGGGGGAGGGTCTGCTGGGACACGGCCCACTGTCGAGACCTGCTCGGTCCCAGCAACTCTACGCTCAATCAGCCACCTACTCTCAGCACAAGATCCCACAGAAAAAAACATAAATATATACAAGAAGGTGCATGTCCCTTGGTCACTGAGAAACTCAAGTATATATGATCATTTCTCACCGCTCCAGTGGTCCATTGCTCCGCTCTGGTGCACCCCAGGACAAGAGAACAGAGGTAGGGGTGTCAGAGTAAAGATGAGGTGCAGGAACCCCTTCAGGGGAGGATGGAAGGGTATGAAAGTGCAGAGTCATCTGAGGCACTGAACAACCCACAGTGGTGCACGCTTCCACCTGGATGATGGAGAGAAACTTTGCAACACCCCAGTACAACACACGTTTCGTTTCTGATGTAAGGCTGGTTTTCTTCAGTCAGCATATTATCAATTAATAGTGCTGAGAACAGTTTGATACTTGATTCTGTTGTCATTCCTCAGTCACTTGCATAGAATAGAAAATTAAAGGGTGGGGGGGGGTCACTGTCAGTGGAAAATTTAATTTCAGTTTTTATCAAATCAAATCAAATTTATTTATATAGCACTTTAAAAACAACATCCAGTTGATCCAGTTTTATATTTGTTACTGAAGCACAATCAGAAAGAAAAGCAGACGAACATTTGTTTGAGCTGTGACAATATAACTTCTATTTACATAATTTGTTTTTAATTATATATTTTTGTTAAATCTTTTCGATTATCTAAGACAGTACTGTGTTTTACCATAATGCTATTATAAATCTAAAAACTATCAATATGACAGAATACCTGGAGGCTGTAGGTCTGGTATGGCAGTAGGTCCAGGAAAGTGTAGTTAGTGATGTTTCCTGGAACAGTGACTGAACTTGAGGTGGAGAGGGGACTGTGGAAGAGCTCTTGTTTTATAAAATGTTCAGTTTCAGAGCTGGCCTTGTTGTAGTCCTGCTTATACAGTAAATAACTTGAGTTTACTCTGGGGGTGCTGGGCTCAGTGAAGCGGGATGAGGTGAAACCAGGGCCTTGACTTGTATTGCTTATACAGGTGAACCTGATATATTTTTCTTCTGCAACCCCAGGGAAAGATTTTGAGAGAAGGTGAGGTCTGGTGTCTTTGATTGTGCTTGAACTGTCATTAGTGTCTGGGGTTGAGCCTGGGGTGGTAAGACTAGGAGTTGGCCTGAGGTTATGACCTGAGCTGAGATATGCATCCTCAGGGCTGGGCAACAGGCTTGGCATAGGACCTAAGCTGGAGCCGAAGGTCGTGATGGTGCTGGAGACTGAGCTGGGTTTGAAATCTAAAGAAGAGACAGAGCTGGGGCAAAGATAGAGGGTATAATTTGTGATAATGCCATTTGGTTGGGAGGGAGGAACCCAGGCAACTGTTACAGTTCGAGGATGAAGCCCTGATACAGTAAGGCTGCCCACTGGTCCTGGACCTGCGGAAAAGGGAGATGACGACGAGATGAACAGACAGGGAGAGGGAAAGGAAAAGCAAGAAAAACATTTGTGTGTCCTTCTAAAAGACTGAGAAACAAAAGAGGAGGATTTGTTCTATAGAATTATTTGACATGTAACATGAAGAATGACATCAGAAGGACAAAGAGTGATTCTGCTATCTCTATCCACGTGATTAACATAGAAACCCTTTCTTAACCCAAGATTTTATTTAAGGATTTACTCAGTTCTTGTGAGTTTCTGAATGTGAGTCTGTACCTTCTTCAGCCTGGAATTCAGGAAGAGAAGTGTAGGCCAGTGCTGGGAACACTGTAGCTCAACTCCGTGCTGACTTCAGTCAATGTACATACACAAATACATAATGTACAAATGCTTGCACACGTACTATTATGATGCCAAATTTTAATAACTGCAAATACAGGTAAACAATTTAAATATAACACATTTAAATGACATACTTTAAGTTAAATGATGTGGGTTTATATGAAAACCTCAAACCTGAGATGGAGTTTCAGCATTTAATTAACAAAAGGTTTATCAGGAAACTCAACTAATGCATCTGTGGTGTCTCCTTGCAATACTTTGCTTTGCAGAACCAGAGCCATGGTCTCACAGAGCTAGTAATTTTTATTTGGCTCAACCTGTGAATTTCCAGTGTCGGGAAGTGCCTTAAATTCTTATGTCCAGAATGTAAAATGATCCTCACTAGAATCAGAAGTATGCAGCACACAGAAATGCACATAAAAGCCCACAGGCACACCCAGTCACATGATTTGCATATGTTCATGCACAGAGAAAAACCTACACAGACTGAGGAATATCTCACTCCACAGTAGCTCATTTGAGGGTAATGCCTCCTCTACCCTCCTCCCCTGGCATTTACATCCCACTGTACTGCTCTGTAATGGACACACACAAATGCACAGACACACATTCCTTACAACCACCCCCCCCCCCGAACCGCCCAAACCACACACCCACACCCACAGTGATGTAGTATAGCAGTTATGGTGCTGTGTGAAGGGCAAGCAGATCAAGGTGACTGAGTGGACTGAGGGAGCGTGCTGCGTTGCTAAGTGCTACTGCTAACCGCTAACGGCTTTCCCAGATGGCGGTATGTGTGTGGGTGTGTGAGTGTGTGAGTGTGTGTACAAGATTTTCTGAAAATCTGAATGCAAAGATTTATAAAAGCCATAATCATATCTAATGTTCTTTGACCTGTGTATTCACTGATAAATTGTGCAACATAAAATGGGATGGACTTTGACCATGACATAACATAATACATATTATAATGTAGGCAGACTTGGAGGCAAATCACAGGCAAACTGAGGTTTTTACACTAGGTAAATCTCAATTCTATTATTTGATTGTTACTTGCTCCTTGACCCTTGCTCGACCCAGAAGTCATTCTGGTCCGCCACATTGAAGGATGTATCAAAGCTCTTATTCCTGCTCTGAGGAGTGAGGAGGCTGACTGGAGGAAACATGAGCGAAAATAGAAGAGAGCATCCTCTGTGGTAATCTCATATGGACTGACATGTACCTTCATCAAAAATCAGCTGGTGATTGGACACTTCAGGTGAAAGACAGCAGAAAAGGAGAACTCATGTCTCTACAAGTGTGACTCTTCTATTCCTCTCTCCTCACATTTTCTCCAGGCATCTTTTCCTCACATTTTACTTGGGTGGGACTAATGTACAAAGAAAGGATACAAGTGAGGATGCAATTAAAAGAACTGGGATTGAGCCACGGACCTATATTCATTTCCTGAAGACTTACCCTAACCTTAAACCCCATAGTCACACAAACATTTTGTGATTTAGATGAAGGGGACAAGCATCTGGCCCTCACAAGGAAGGCTGAGTCCCTACAATGTATGTGTGAAAACAGGTTTTGGTTCCAGCAGTGTAAAACCAGGTGTGCATGCACACACACAGTTTTTCCATTTTCCATACACATAAACAAGAGCATAAAATGGTCATGTAAAGCTTGGCTGGGTTTTCCAGATCACAAATGGTTCCACTACCAACCCATCTTTGTCTCTTCCTCCTTCTCTTTTCCTTTCTCTGACCCCTTCCTTCCCTCTCTCACTCTCTCTCTCCCTTATTCGTTCTTTGAGTCACAGCCTCCATCTCTCTTTCGCTCATTCTATCCGGTCTCCCTGCTAAATAAACAATGCAGAGAGTTGACCTTTTGGGTTAACAAGTTTTTATGCTAGCTCTACTCAGCACTCGCACTGATTCAATTACCACCAAAGGTCCACTGAACGCCACGAATTACCAAGGAGCCCATCTTGCTGTCTGCATGCCTCGCTACAAGCTGGTTCTTTTTTGGACATTTGGGGGGGTGGTCCTACTACCTATTAGTCTAATTCTTTTGTTCTGTCAGGTCAGGTTTCAACAACACAAAGTCCTGAACTGCAATTAAACCACAAAACACAGTCCAGTCACCTTGATCAAGCTACCATCAACCAACCAAAATAACCCCCACTAGTACCCCCCTCATTCCCCATCTCCTCCCCTCCCCCTAAGTGTTGACTGTTATTTAGGCTTTACTGGCGCGTGTAAAATTCGGCAATTTGAAGGGCTGTTAAGTTTTTCCAATTGAAATTTTCATTTAAGATACAGGTGATGCTTTTTTTTTTTTTTTTTTTTATAGCAGCATTTTTATAGTATCAGGGAGGGAACGACTGCTGAGGGAATGTGCAGCAGCCATTCCCTCTCTGGTTTCCTGGCTCCTCATCCTTCTTTCTCTCCCTCATGCTCACCTCTTCCATTTTTCCACCTCTCATCCAGGCCTCTCAACTGCTCATCTTTTCCCTTATCTCCCACTCACTCCCACCTTTTCTCTCCCCCACCTCTTCATTATCCATGCCTTCCTCTCTTTCGTCATCCCTTCACACCTCCCACCCTTAGTCCTCCTCTTGCTGGTAAAACACCAGTAGCAGAAGGCTAAAACAGGAGTGCGGAGCCGCCAAGCCTTAAATCACATTTATAAGGATTTGGTTAGCATAGTAATAACACAATCAACTGACAAGGGCTGGGAGAGGGGGAGGGAGGGAGGAAGGTGTGTGTGCGTCAGTGTATACATGTCATTTAGAGTAAGGTGTGTGCGCGTCAGTGTATACATGTCATTTAGAGTCGTGCATATTTGTGTGTATGTGAGTGTTGTAAGGGTCTGACCGTGCACATTTAAATGTGGACATCTGTGTGTATCCATGTGAAGAGGAGATGAAAGGTAGTATATGTAGCCTCGCACAGAGCCCTGTATGTGCATGTGTGTGCTTGTGAGCATGTTTCTATGTGGATGACTGGGCTTTTGAAGGTGAGTCAGGGCTCCTAGAAGTTACGAGGACACACACTGAGCTTTACTGCTATCAAAATGCTTACGACAGTGTGTCAAAACATGACAACCAATACAGTGACAATTTACATTGCATTTCATACAGATTATTTAATGCCATTGTTGTTTAAGAAGACACTGAAGAGGCAGCGAGAAAGAGGACGATGCAAGATCAAGGTCATGAGCTTGACTTGTATCCATAACATCACAAGTATACGAGATGTGCATTAAAGTAATTACAACCATTACAATTCCTTTGAAATGTCAATGTTTCGACATCCTTTTCAGATGGTGGCTATTTGGAGTGATTTATTTAATTGCAGGTAACCTTCTGATGAATCCTGTACTTCAGAAATGGAACAAAAAAGCTGAAAAGTAATATATGGTTTTTAAAATATAATGTTAGCATATGTTGGTTTGTCCAATTATTCAAATCAGTGGGAATTGGTTGGGTTTACTGGGGAACCCTAGTAAAGAAATTCTAACAACACAACAGGAATCCCAAGCTGTACCTCAGCTTGGGATTCCTGAAAAACCAGAGTTTTTATTTAGAGAGCCCTACAGTATATTTTCCCATTAGTTCCAACAGTAAATTTCAAATAAACAAATATATCAAAAGACAGCGTATAAATACATGTTCAGTTAATGGGTAGTGTATATAAAATATTCTAGTCATCTCTTGAAAAAGCAAAATTGCAGTGAGATTATGCTGACATTACTTTAACATGTCCATAGAGGTAAGTGAACAGAATACTAGGACATGAGGTAGAGTATTATTTTATTAATGCAGTCGCCGCTTTGTTAAATAACAAGAATTCTGTGCCCCCCCGCACATCTACCCTCACTCTCTGCTGTAAGTTCAATAAAGTAACAGTAGTTTTGAAATGTTTTCACCCCCCACCACACACCACTTTCTAAGACTGCTTGACTAAGATCATTTTGTAAAAATGACGCTTTATTCATGCTCTCTATAATACTCCAACACACACACACACACACTTCTTTCACATAACACACAGACAGGCACACACCAACACACACTCTTAGATCACTTAGCTGCTGTGAACAGGAGCAGACAGAGGAAAGGGAGCTGTCCAACATGGCTAGAGTT